GAAGTTAAATTTTTAAAATTGGGTTTTAATTCAGTCCTGGTTCTGTTATTTAGATGATTGGACTCCCAGCAAGTCACTTACCCTCTCTAAATCTTGGTTCTTACATGTAAACTACAGAAACACCTGCAGACCTCAGAATGTGGCGGGGATAAAACAGAGTGGTGAATAACAGCAGTTTTTAAAGATGCATCCACCGATGAAGCATTATTTCACTAATGGCTGGAAGACCACACCTTGGGTGTCCTGGTACAGAACTTTTCAAGTATGAGACTTATTCAATTAACTATGTAACATGCATATGTTCTCACTTCCAAAAAGCCACATAGTAACACATCACTCTTATGCTGCACATAATACACACATACAAATATAAAACCATTGAAGTGATTTGTATTATCTATGACCATGTATATGTAAATATCAGTATTTCACTTTTTTTTTTTTTTTGAGACAAGTCTCACCCTTTTGCCCAGGCTGGAGTGCAGTGGCACAATCTCGGCTCACTGCAGCCTCTGCCTCCTGAGTTGAAGTGATTCTCCTGCATCAGACTCCAGAGTCACTAGGATTACAGGCGCCCACCACCATACCCAGCTAATTTTTTGTATTTTTAGTAGAAACAGGGTTTCATCATGTTGGCCAGGTTAGTCTTGAACTCCTAACCTCAAGTGATCCGCCAACCTCAGCCTCCCAAAGTGCTGGGATTACAGGCATGAGCCATCGTGCCCAGCCAGTATTTCACATTTAATTTGATTTATTCTAGATATAAGTTGAAACAAACTTTATGTCACCAGAAATGACCTAAAGAAAAGCACAAGGAAATGACATTGACTCTAAAGGCACAGAGAGAAGAGACAAGGTGGGAAGGAAAATCAGCCAGTGATGAAATGGGTGCTGTGTCCAGGGCCAGGTCCTCACTCATGTGACTCTCGCAATTTAATTGAGGAAATGACAACTTAGCCAGAAACAATGGAGAACAAAATAAGGCAATAAAACCAATCAGCCTGGGGCAGACTGTGTGGTCTATGGATAAGGACTCTCCAGAGAGGTTTCCAGAAGGAAAAGAGCATTAGTAGTATGGCTATCAGGAAAAGCTTCATGGAGGCGGGGCACTGAAGGGGACTATGAGGGATGAAGAGAGTTTGAATGCTTGGAAGGGACAGGCCAAGTAAAAACACCAGCAGGAATAAAGAGAGCAGCTTGAATAACATGGAGATTCAGACTGGAGCAAAAGAACTCACTATTCACTGCTGCTGAGCCCTCAGGGAGAGCTGGCAAGGCTGCCAAGAGCCAGAGGAGAGGTGAATGCACTCAGAAGCCACGTAGCTGAGAACCCGGGCAGTGCTGACAGTGGGCGGCCATTCATTGCAGGTGTGAGGCGTCCTGTGTAAGGCAGGTGGCGGGGCAGTGCGTAACAGGGTCAGGGAGGCACTTTGCCCTGGTCTGCTCTGCCCACCTTCCACTCTCGAATCTTCCTTCCACCCTTCCCAACACGCTCCACATTTATTCTGCTCCAACCATGTGAGGAGCTGGGCACTGCAGAAAAAGTGCAGCAGTCTCCCTGGGGAGTTAGATACAAAAATAGGGAAGACAGAAACAGCTGAGCACCAAATAAGCAACACTGACATTACCACCAAGGGAAGGAACGATGGTAGAGAAGGAAGGGCCAGCGAGGCTGGTTGGGGAAGGTTCCTCAGAGAAAATGGTGCTTGGCCAAGCCTTGAGGGAAACATTAAGATTCACAAAGCTGGGAGCAAAGAAGGGGTATGACACCTCTCTAGGTGTCAATCAGACAAGAAGGTATGAATGCAGAACTGCCATTTGCAGTGAGTAATGAACTAACTGGTCTGATGCTGTGGAAGGTTCATGTAGACAGCCAATGGGAGAGTCAGTACAGAAAGCGAGTGAAACTGAATTCTGCAGAATCTCAATCCCAGGCATTTGGTTCTCCTGCCCAAGGTTTCTAACTTTGTGGTCCAGTGATGGACCTCAAGATTTGGCCATGAACACTCAGTAAGAAAATCGTGAATATTTTCTCATATAGGCATTTCAGTCTGGGGAGAGGTTAAGTGGCTTTCAGAATCTCAAAAGGGTTTATGACCTAAAGAGTTGAAAACCACCAATGCAGCAATTGGCGGAGTGGTCTGTGTGGGGAAGGGAGAAGAGGTTGGGATTATATAAGTCGAGCCCATTCCCCTCCCCTGAGACGGGCTTTCTTAACTATACACCAGACAGTCATTAACAAACAGATGCCATTCCTCTCTCTAGTGGCTTCTTGTTCAATAAGTATTTGACAGTTATGGTGGATTACAAAAATAGCTCATTGCAATCAGGTGTGGTGGCTCATGCCTATAATTGCAGCACTTTGGGAGGCTGAGGGCAGATCACAAGGTCAAGAGATTGAGACCATCCTGGCCAACACGCTGAAACGCTGTTTCTACTAAAAATGCAAAAATTAGCCAGGCATGATGGTGCAAGCCTGTAATCCCAGCTACTCAGGAGGCTGAGGCAGAAGAATCGCTTGAACCCGGGAAGCAGAGTTTGTAGTGAGCCAAGATCTCACCACTGTACTCCAACCTGGGCGACAGAGTGAGACTCGTCTCGGGAAAGAAAAAGAAAAGCTCATCCGGGAAAGTAGAAAGGAAACCAGCACAGGGGGGAGCAGAGGAGAGAACTCAGGAAAAGGGATAGTCGGTAAGAAGATTCGATAAATTAGAATGCCAGAGAAGCCAAAGAATAAAAAATCCTGAGAAAGATGAAGTGGTTACAGGTGTCAAGCACAAATAAGGGATGAGGGGGAAAAAGTCTCAAAATTCAATGACCCTCAATGCATGGTTTCTGTGGGGTGATAAGAGGCCAGAGGCTAGGGATAAGGGGTTCAAATCAAGACACTTGGAGAGCAAAAGAAAGTGCCACTGATGATTACAGTGAATGACAGGCATAAACCAGGACTGTCCTGGGCCAACAGATAAAGTTACCTTGTTGAGGAGGAAATCAGTAGAATAGACAGGAAGGCAGCCGACACTGTCTGTTAACTCAAAGGGTTTAGCTGCCAAAAGCAAACTAGGACATTAGTCAGAAAAGCCAGTAGGGAAAAGAAAAGGCTTTACCACATATTGATTTGGGAGGCAGGAGGACTTCTGGAGGTTTTGAAGGGGGCTGGGTGCGGTGGCTCATGCCAGTAATCCCAGCACTTTGGGAGGCTGAGGTGGGCAGATCACTTGAGCTCAGGAGTTTGAGACCAGGCTGGAAAACATGGCGAAAACCCTTCTCTACAAAAAAAAATTTTTTAATTAGCTAGGTGTGGTGGCATGCACCTGTAGCCCCAGCTACTCGGAGTGAGACTAAGGTGGGAGAATTGCTTGAGCCCGGGAAGTTGAGCCTGCAGTGAGCCATGGTCATACCACTGCACTCCAGCCTGGGCAACAAAGACCCTGTCTCAAATTTAAAAAAAAAAAAAAAAAGGAAAAGGGAAGGGGCAAAGGGCATTGCATATTCTCCACCCCACAGAACATCATGAGGCACAGCAGCTCCTCCAGAGCTTCTACATGGATGCTGACGGTGGCACTCCAGTTCCTTGGGAAACAGGAAAGGACGGAATAAACAGGAGTGAGGAGAGACATTTCCTCCTTTGAAACTGCAAGGAAAAAAAACACCTTCTGAAAAGAAAAGGCAAAATGCAACATTTTATCTCAACCTAGGGAGCATGAGATCTGGCTGCGAGGAAAGGATACATTTTCAAATTAGCTTTCACTACGGCTTTCTCTTCCTTTTTCAAGGGAGAAGATATTAAGAAGAAAATAAAGTGAACTCTCAGGTGTTCATTAAAGTTAAATCCTGGCTAGGCGTGGTGGCTCAGGGCTGCAATCTCAGCACTTTGGGAGACCAAGGCGGGCAGATCACTTGAGGAGTTCAAGACCAGCCTGGCCAATATGGCAAAACTTCGTCTCTACTAAAAATATAAAAATTAGCCAGGCTTGGTGGCTCGTGCCTGTAGTCCCAGCTACTTCTGAGGCTGAGGCAGGAAAATCGCTTAAACCCAGGAGGTGGAGGTTGCAGTGAGCTGAGATCATGCCAGTGCACTCCAGCCTGGGCGACAGATTGAGATTCCATCTAAAAAAAACCCAAAAAGCTAAATCCAGTGCAGACTGGCAGAACTAGAATAAGGAAGTATATCCTTATTTCATTTTGTCCAGTGCTGAGCATTTATTTGTAATTTCATTTCAGGTAGGGCACAGTGGCTCATGCCCGTTATCCCAGCACTTGGGGAGGCCAAGGTAGGAGGATCGTTTCAGCCCAGAAGTTTGAGACCAGCCTGGGTAACAGTGAAACATTGTCTCTTCAAAAAATAAAAAAAAACTAAAAATAATTAGCTGGGCATGGTGGCACACAGTCCAGCTACATGGGAGGCTAGTCCCAGCTCCTTGGGAGCTGAGGCAGGAGGATTACTTTTGAGTCCAGGAGGTCAAGGCTGCAATGAGCTGTGATCGTGCCACTTTACTCCAGTCTGGGTGACAGAGCAAGACTTTTGTCTCAAAATTGTCTCAAAAAACAAATTGTAGAAATGTTTCATTTCAGTACACCTCAGGGAACATAGAAAGGTCAGGGGAACAGTCACCAACCTAAGGTTCAACTGGGTAAGAAAACACTGGCTAGCATGGGGACACTAAGATGAGACCACACCCACAGTGCAAGTGGAAAGAAAACTCCGAGGCCAACGCCAGACAAGAGGTTCAATGAGAAAACAGGTGGCTCTCAACTTACAACTGGGTGATTCATCCACACGCAGCACAGTCTTCCACAATGGGAAAGGGCATACTTTTCACAGAACAGATGGAAACGAAGCCACCCCAGGGCCTCAGGTGAAGGAGCATGTGACCCAGCAATGCTGTGGGGTCACGTGAGCTCACCCAGGAGCACTCAGGATCGGGAAACACTATGGCACCGATCACATTCTGAATCTCAGCCCTCACGGTATATAGATTTCAATAACGAAATGGAGATTTATGAAAGTCAGTTTATTGTCCCTTTCTGTGTTTCATATTTTCCCTTTTTGTCAGTAAATAAGCAATACACTGATTGGAAATCTGCATGATTAAATAACATTAACAAGTTCATAAACACACCCCATATAAGAGTATAAAGCAAGAGGTTGAAAAATATTCCCTAACCCAATGCAAATTAGGAATCCCTCAAAATTGCACGTTCTCCTCCTAGCTTGCTTATATAACTTAAAAAATATATATATATATACAGAATGATCTTAAAATATTGATCAGAATTCACTAGTACAGAATTCACAGCCCTGAAGATATATATATTTCTCTAAAGAATGAATACCCCGCAGGCCCTAGTAATCCATTAATGTGATTCAATGTCACAGACAGTCCTCAGCTTCTGATGTTTGGACTTTACAGTGGTGAGAAATGGTTGCAATTTCAACATAATGTACAGTAGTCAATAAATTACGTGATATATTCAACACTTGATTATAAAATAGAGTTTGTGTTAGATGATTCTGCCCAACTGTAGGCTGATCAGAGTGTTCTGAGTATATTAGGATAGGTGAGGCTAAGCTATGATGTCCAGTAGGTCAGGTGTATGAAATACGTTTGACTTCCGATGGGTTTACTGGGACATAACCCCATCATAGGGTACATAGGTATCATAGGTACATAGCGCATCTGTACTTGACACTTACTAGAACAAAAGGTCTTTCCCTTTTCTCTAATTCTAGTCTTCTGCTGAGGTAACTCCAGGAACCCAGCTGTGCCAGAGATAATCCTTTAAAAATAGACTAAGCAGATTAGCATCCTAGAGGATCCTAAGGTTCCCAGACAACAAATCTGGGACTGCGTGCTTGAGTTGCAAGTTACACATCGGAATGTTCAAGATAACTAATGTCCTTGAAAAGAAGACTAAATACTCCCAGGAGTCCACGCTCGTTTGAATGAAGATGGAGGAGAACAAGTTGACAATAATTTGAAGATATTTTGTGCTTCTGGGCTGAATGGCTTTGAGATCAGACACAGAGTGGCTGAGCCAGTCAGGAGGCATGTAATGAAAGCTTTCCCACCACAGTGAACAGAGGGATTCTTTGTCCAAGACAAGCTTGCAGCTTGGTCCAGCTTGAGCATTTTATCAGGATTTGATGCTTGAAAGATGAGCCACTCTATATAAACTCATTACCAAAGCGAAATGCAATGATCTCTTCCATTTGTGGAACAAATCACCACTATAAACCACGGGTGGCTTTGCCTTCTGTTCACTCAATTTTCCAGGCTAGAGAAAGTCCAAGTCCAAAACAACAGTTAAGGATAAACCTCAACACGCCAAACAAAGATGATGGCAGAGTCAGAGGTCATTCGGCACATTCATGAAACAACAAAAAAAATCGTCAGCAGTAATTCCTGTAGTGTAAAAAACCAGCGCAGCCTTCACGGCTGGTCAGATCTCAGGTGGCTGGCAGTGTTGAGAAGGTCTGACAGTCCAAGGTCATGCTGGAGCTCCTGGACAAACCCTGAATAGGGCAGATTCGAAGCCCTAATGGTCCTGATGTGGCTGACATTGTTCTGTCTCTCGGGCACCAGTCACTCCCTCAATATGTGAGCTTGTCTCCTTCGCATGAGAGAGAATATTTCCTTCACTATTAACGGCGATATAAACACAATTGTACAACTTGTCTGTGAAGAGAAAATTATATTACATATGCAGCAACAATTTATTTCTGTTAGAGCGTCATGTTTTGAACATAATAACAGATTTGGACAATTACATTCATTTTGACTTCATACAAAGATAACGTTTAATCTTCAATGAATTAGAAAATGATTTTGAAAATTAGGGCTAATAGTACAAAACACTTAACATCACATTTCAGTTGCCAAAAACAGAATGAAGTGCACAAATAATTTGCCACAGGCAGAGGAGAGAATTGAGACCAGAGGCCCAGATTAACAACGATCCTTATCATAGATCAAGTTTCTTTCTACCACAATTCCTAGTATGATCACACCAGAAAGCTCATCAGAAGATCCTTCCCTCTACTTAGCATGGATGTCATAAATGGAACACAAGTTATATGGCCCGGTCTTTGGAAGCTAGATGGGAATTAGATGAAAGCTCCGAGGAATTCCTGGAGTTGGACTATCCCAGGGCTCCTTGAACAAGGCAAGAGGATAGCTGCCTGGAGTAGGGGTGGCAGAAGCTGCCTTCAATTACACCACCCTGGATTGGAGGACACGATACTGAACACACCCTGGTGTATTCCAGACTCTCTCAGGTAGTCATCCTGTCTTGAGCACTGTCCCATCAATAACATGCCTGAGTATGTCACCGCTCATAACAGAGGGCAACTTCTTTTTTTCTTTCTTTTTTTTTTTTTTTGAGACAGAGTCTGGCTGGAGTGCAGTGGCACCATCTCAGCTCACTGCAATCTCCGCCTCCTGGGTTCAAGTGATTCTCCTGCCTGTCTCCTGAATAGCTGGAACTACAGGCACATGCCAACATGCCCAGCTAATTTCTATATTTTTAGAAGAGATGGGGCTTCACCATATTGGTCAGAATGGTCTCGATCTCTTGACCTCGTGATCTGCCCGCCTTGGCCTCCCAAAGTGCTGGGATTATAGGCGTGAGCCAACACGCCCAGCCTAGAGAGCAACATTTTAAAAGCACAAAGCCTCAGGAGTTTAAGACCAGCCTAGGCTACATGGCGAAACCCCCTCTACAAAAAATTGAAGAAGTTAGCAAGGCGTGGTGGCACACACCTGTAGTCCCAGCTAATCGGGAGGCTGAGGTGAAAGGACCACCTGAGCCCAGGAGGTCAAGGCTGTAGTGAGCTGTGATTGTGCCACTGCACTCCAACCTGGATGACAGAATGAGACCCTGTCTCAAAATAAATAAATAAATACAAGGCCTTATTCTGTATTGGCTATTTCCAAGAAAGTACAGAATCCCAGCCAAGAATGTCTAGGGCATAGTAAATATTTCCTCAAGAAACCCCCACTATTTTAGAACCAAGATATATAACAGTGTTAATTACAGCAATGCTTCTGTTTTAACTCTGTGTTGCTTAGTGTACATTGTAATTTGCTTCAGAATTTCCAAATTATATTCTGCAGATAGAGGGTAGCCTAGAAGAGTATACTGATTAGGGGCTGTTGATTCTTTAAATAAGTCTCTTGTTTTTCTGAAATAATAAATGGCAATATTCATTAGACACAGGTCAAGAGCAAACTGAGAGCCTTTTTTCTTTCTTAAAAAGAAGAATGTGAGGCCAGGTGTGGTGGCTCACACTGTAATCCCAGCACTTTGGGAGGATGAGGCGGGTGGATCACCTGAGGTCAGGAGTTCAAAACCAGCCTGGCCAATATGGTAAAACCCCATCTCTACTAAACATACAAAAATTAGCCAGGAGTGGTGGCAGGTGCCTGGAATCCCAGCAGCTCAGGAGGCTGAGGTGGGAGAATCACTTGAACCTGGTAGGTGGAGGCTGCAATGAGCCGAGATCACACCAGCGCACTCCAGCCTGCATGACAGAGCAAGACTCTGTCTCAAAAAAAAGAACAATGTGTCTTTTAGATTAATAAAATGTTACTTTTCATAAAGGGGCCTTTTAAAGCAATCAGCAGTTTTGCTGGTTTCAAGAAATGACTTAAGTAAATGCTTTCAACTTAGTAAGAAAAATGACTTTTTTTTTTAAAGGGCACACACTTACCATGAGAATGAAAAAGTAGAAAACCCACATCCATCCTAGCTTGTCCCGGATCAGAGACACTAAATACTAAAAGGGAGACAAAAATACAGTATAATTCTTTATAAGTAGATTAAACATGGCTATTTTAGAAAATAAGAAGGGAGCAGGGTTTGTATGTTTTGAAGTTTACAAAGCTCTTCCACATACATGTGCCTGCTGTGATCAATGGCCTCATTTTGTAAGCATGCAGAGTCCAAATGGAAAAACTGTATAACAGAAGTTGTCAGTTCAGGGTTATTTTTATTCACTTTGCTATTTAGAGAGGAAGATGAACATCCGAAAGCCACTCCCCTTTACTCATTCTTTCTTCCAATGAAAGGTACCATAATTGATGCTTCCAAAACAGTTTGTCTTTGAGTATGCCACTCATTTTCCAATTACGCTGTCTGCTTAGAATACTGCTACACTACCTTCGCATTCTGCAGCATATTCTTTTACTTTTCCTTCAATTATTGAAAAGGATCTAATTGCACTTATTTAACCCATTGTCTTTTTTTATCTTATTATGGTTAAGATATAACTGACATAAAATTTGCCATTTTAACCATGTTTAAGTGTACAATGCATTGGTATCAGTTACATTCATAATATTATACAACCATCACCACCATCTATTTCCAAACTTTTTCATCATCCAAACAGAAACTCTGTACCTATTAAGCAATTAACTGCCCATCTCCCCAACCCCTGGTAACCTCTTCTTTCTGGTTCTATGGATTGGCCTATTGTAGATATTTTGTGTAAATGGAATAACAGTATTTGTCCTTTTATGTCTGGTCTGTTTCATTTAGCATAATGCTTTCAAGGTAGACTGCATTAGAACTTCACTCCTTTTTTTTTTTTCTGGAGATGGAGTCTTGCTCTGTCGCCCAGGCTGGAGTGCAGTGGGGCAATCTCCACTCACTGCAATCTCCGTATCCCAGGTTCCAGCGATTCTCCTGCCTGGGCCTCTCAAGTAGCTGGGATTACAGGCTCAATCCACCATCCCTGGCTAATTTTTGTATTTTTAATAGAGACAGGGTTTCACCATGTTGGTGAGGCTGGTCTCAAGCTCCTGACTCATGATCCACCTGCCTTGGCTTCGCAAAGTGCCGGGATTACAGGCATGAGCCACCGCGCTCAGCCCTTCATTCTTTTTTCTTTTCTTTCCTCCCCTCCTCCTCAGCTCCAACTTCATTCTCTTCACGTGGATACCAGTTATCCCAATATTATTTACTGAGAGACCATCCTTTCCCCATTGAATGGTCCTGGTACCTTTGTCGAAAATCCGTTTGGTCACAGACACAAAAGGGGAACCCATGTTATTTGATCACATTATTACTGAAATGTACATATGAAAAAAATTAATGCAGAACAACTGTGTGATTTATATTAGATCACATCATGTGAAGCAAAAAAGCAGAGGTCTAATCATCCATTAAAGGAAGCACAGGGGTGCTCCAAACTCTGACTACAACTTTGCCTTTTTTTTTTTTTTTTTTTTGAGACAGAGTCTTGGCCAAGCAAGGTGGCTTATTCCCATAATCCTAGCACTTTGGGAGTCCGAGGCAGGAGGATCACTTCATTCCAAGAGTTTAAGACCAGTCTGGGCAATGCGGTGAAACCCCATCTCTACAAAAAAATACAAAACTTAGCTGGGTGTGGTGGTGCATACCTGCAGTCCAAGCTATTTGAGAGGCTGAGGTGGGAAAATCACTTGAGCCCCAGAAGGCAGAGGTTGCTGTGAACCAAGATTGCAGAGGTTGCCGTGAACCAAGATCGTGCCACTGCACTCCAGCCTAGGCGACAGAGCCAGACCCTGTCTCAAAAACAAATAAAAAAGGGTCTGGCTCTGTCACCCAGGCTGGAGTGGAGTGGTGTGATCATGGCTCACTGCAGCCTTGACTTCCCAGGCTCAAGCAATCCTCCTGTCTCAGCCTCCCAAGTAGTTGGGACAGGCACACATCACCATGTCCAGCTAACTTTTTATATTTTTGTAGAGATAAGGGTCTCACTATGTTGCTCAGGCTGGTCTTGAACCCCTGGCCTCAGCAATACTCCTGCCTTGGCCTCCCAAAGTGCTGGGTGGGATTACAGGCATGAGCCACCACCCTCAGCCTCATATACAAGCATTAATGTGGACATTTGTTCTCATTTCTCTTGGGCAGATACTGCAATTGAATCTTACTGAACCCCCAGTATGTGTCAAAAAAGAAAGCACTAAGCATTAGAAACGCAAAAATGAAGGCAACAAGCAGAGCACTTGCCATGGTGCATCACCTTTACACCAAGACAGGTGCCTACTAGAGGACCACATCAACTGCTATGGCAACCTGAAGGAGAAACAATTCTTTACTTGGGAAGTCAGGGAAAGATGGGGGCAACAAAGTTATTCAGGGTAAGTTAGTACACTGGCTAACACTAAGTCACAGAGTTTGGGATTTCACCCCTTAGGCAACGGGAAATCATTCAAAACCCACCATGGAAGAGGAATGGAGTAAAGCTAACAATGATCTACTCGGGACATGCTTCCCCAACCGTGAAGGTCAGTCTAGGACCCAAGTTCACAGTGAGGGATCTAGGTACTGGCAGGTGAGGCGATCTAAATAAAAGCAAGCTCCCTGAAATACTCATTAAAATCCACCCATTTAGTTTGTGAAGAAAACATTCATAAAGAAAGGTAACTTCAAATAATATAATGTTGAAAAAGGGTGCCCAAGGCAGTCACTCTCTACCCCATAGACGAAGCCGTCAGAACTGATGGCTAGGAGCATTTTTTGATTCCCACTCCAGAGCATGATCAGGTAAGCACATTTCTCAAGCCTTTGCTAAGATTTTTGTTTGTCTGGGTTTTTTGCCCTTTAGTCTTACAGTAAAATATGCTAAGCCTATCAGTCATTCATTCTACAATCATTCCACAAGTAATGTCTACCGTGTGCCAGGCACTGCTCTAAGTACAAAGGCCATGGAAGAACATACAACGAAATGATGCACTCAGGAAGCTTACATTACAGCGGGAAGAACAGACATTAGCAAGTGTACACAGACTACTCAAACACGGCCAGGTAAAGTATTAAGGTGGCTTACTTTACCTCAATACTTGCTCTCTCATTAACCACTAGCAATCAGACATCAGCAATTCACCCCACCAAGGAAGCAACAACAATCTTCAAGGCCATTAATGACCTCCTAGATGTCACAACTAAGCACCTAAGAGACAAATCCTTCAGTTCTCCTTCTCCTGACCTCTCTACGTCCATGACCTTACTAACACCTTCTCAAATGCAACCCTCTTGACTACAGGTTAATCTGCTGTCTTCCTCTTTTTTGACCACTGGGCATTCCCTGAGGCTTGGCCAGCATTCTTTTTCCCATTACATAAAAAACCCACTTCCATAGGTTCAACTATTTTTATCCATACAGATGACTCTCAAATCCATATTTTTGCAAAATTCACTCTGATCTGAGTGGTATATCCTAGAAGAGGCATGATTCACGACTGTCCCAGAAAAGAGATACCTGTCCCAGAGAAAGCCTCAATTTGTGCAAAAAAAAAAAAAAAAAAAAAAAGGTCAATGTAAATAGTTCTGACTAAGTATAGCAGGCCAATCTTAGCACAGGGATCTCAAACATCCAAGTGCAGAACAATTACCAGGAAGGCTTGTTGAAAATATAGATCCGTGGGTTCTAACTCAGCGAGTCTCTAGTATACTCAGTGTTCTGTACTTGAATGAGTATCCCAGATGATTCTGATAGCTGACATTCATGAGCCACCCCTTGAGATACAGTCATAGATTTCTGGACACACAGGAAGCAGAGCAAGTGATTCAGAAGCAGCTGCAGAGTCCATGGTCATGTCTGGTGGGGCCCAGGAAGGAACGTGTATGCAGTGGAGTGTCTGGGAGAGGGAGACGGGAGACAGCAAAGGTGGGGTCCACATGCCAGGTGGGGATAACAAGAAGCACCCGCTGCCATGGAATACCAAGTTCAGCCTGAAAAGAAGGGGGTAGTGAACTGGGGCAGAATGATCTGTCCGTCTCATGAGGTCTTAGCTTATTTGTAGACAGAATTTGGAAGTATAAGTAATAAAAAGGACTGAAAAAAAATGGAGGGTCCTTCCACAATGGGACACATTAGCTGGCCCTGAGAGGAGACAGGAGCCCCTGCGCTCTCAGTACAGCGTTCTACAGCACAAGACTGCCACCTACTGAGGCCCTGAGGGCAGGTTCATGTTCAGCCACCTTTGAGGGAAGACAGTAGAATCCCAACCCTGGTCCTGTTCTCTCACCTGGCCCACGGCAGCTCCGATGCTCCCCGAACCATCAACAATTCCTGTGACAGTGGCCAAAGCCTCACTGCTCCCTTGGATGATCTCCTGGCGACCCAAGTCCGCAGAAATTGCAGAGCTAATCATATTCGAAGGTCCACCAATAAAAAATCCTGAAGTCAGAACAGGTTCTTATTAAAACACAATTCACAACCACTAGTAATGTACTGCATAAGGCAAAATAAAAATCCCTTGGAGAGAAGTGGGAAAAAAAAGGAACCCCCCCCTCCGCCGAATCATACCATGTTCAAACTATTAATAATTTGAACTGTTGAGGAACATCCACGTTCCTGAAACCCCTTCTTGAATTATGTGGCACTCTAGTATATTTTGTAGAACCCAAAGATGCAAAAATATACTGAAACACACAGCCTTTCTAATCCTGTGACATTTATATGCATTAATAACTAACTGCACTGGCTTGTCAAATTCTACTACAGTAGAGTTGCATCATATGATCATTCCACTGCACAAATTCAACCAGGAACACTGGGGAAAAAAGAGCAAAGAGGAAAAAGCCACTGAAATGGAGCAGGTGACTCTATCTGCCACTGCTCTCAGTGAGGCCGCCCACAAATCGGGCATGAGTTGGCCCATGTGACCCACGTGCTGGAATCAGTTCCATGTGTCTCAAGTAGCATAAGCAGCTCATTCTCCCAAGCATGATCTAAAGTTTAAAATAAATAATTTTTCTGGCTGAGCACAATGGCTCATGCCTGTAATCCCAGCATTTTGGGAGGCTGAGGTGGGCAGATCACCTGAGGTCAGGAGTTCAAGACCAGCCTAGGCAACATGGTGAAATCCTGTCTCTACTAAAACTACAAAAATTAGCCAGGCATGGCAACAGGCACCTGTAATCCCAGCTACTCGGGAGGCTGAGGCAGAAGAATCATTTGAACCCGGGAGGTAGAGTTTGCAGTTAGCTGAGATTGTGCTGCTGAACTGCAGCCTGGGCAACAAGAGCGAGATTCCTTCTCAAAAATGAAAGTAAAGTTTAAAATTAGTAATTTTTCTGGCTGGGCATGGTGGCAAATGCGTGTAATCCCAGTATTTTGGGAGGCCAAGACCAGCAGATCACATGAGGTCAGGAGATCAAGACCAGCCTGGGCAACATGGTGAAACCCCATCTCTACTACAAATACAAAAATTAGCCGGGCATGGTGGTGGCACACCTATAATCCCAGCTACTTGGGAGGCTGAAGCATGAGAATCACTTGAACCCAGGAGGCAGAGGTTGCAGTGAGCTGAGATTGCACCACTGCATTCCAGCCTGGGCAACAGAGCAAGACTCCATTTCAAATTTTTCTATAACATACTTCCTGAATGCACCCAACTATTTTATCTAGTGTTCATGTGAAAAATGCTGACCAATTCCAACACAGGAGAACACCTGAGCTACAGTGGATTTTTTCTTGAAAGCTGGTGAATTGGTCTCCCATGTGGCATCTTTCTAAGTCACTTCTACAAGTAAGAGCAGAAGAAGAAAGAGAAAGAGAAAAAGAAATCTGGAAAAGGAGACATCTTTCATTTTAAAATTTGAATTCTCTGTAATTAAGGTTTCAGTACTACTCAAATTGAAGGAGAAAAAGAGTTTTCTTTTTCCTCTGAATGACAGAGTAACAGAAGAACAGTGGAGCAGAGGCATATGCCGTACCTGTAACAGTCATCAGAAGGGCATTGATGGACTTATCGTTTGGAGAACCTGTTAGGGAAGACACAGACAAACCACAGTGACTTGAAAAGCAGACACCACGTGCCTCCGCCAACAGCACGCAAAGATCTGAATCTCTGTGACCTCACAAATCACTCCCAGAGACAACAAAGAGACACAACTCTCTCTGCCTCTTTCAACTCTGATTTGTAACGTCTGCCTCTTGCTGGTGCTCAAGCTAAGAGACTTCTAAAAGCTAAAGAAAAGCTCTACTCCTGTCTCAACAGCATCTTACGGGACATATACTAACCTACTAATTACCATCTTTCTGCTTTTGAAACCTGTTCCCCTTTTATTGTTTTATTGGCTATAATGCTGTGCCTCTGGAGCCTCCCCAAACAAAGCATATACTCTCCCAAGCAGCTTTTAAGCATATTAACAAAGCAAAAGACATGCCAGTTTCCTCCCAACACAAATAAAACGATGTGATGACAGGTTTCCCAGGCATTCACAGGACAATACAAAGGTGGCATGTCGGGCCTCGAAGCTGGTCTCCAGGCTCTCCCCGGCACTGATCACTGACTCCAGGCAAATGCCTTGTTCGTATCAGATTAAGAAAGCAAATGAATTAGTAATTGCAAAGGGATACTCACGACTATACCCTACGAGGGACCCAACTGCCAGAAGCAGACTCAGGGCAAGAACTGGTGCTCTCTTCTGTAGTACGTCAGAGATGAAGCCCTGCAAAGTCCCACCTGCAAGCACAGAGTGAAAAGCAATCAAAATCACTTCTAATGCAGCTCAGTCGTCTGAGGCCTGCTCCCCATCCACCCTCTAATCTTGATAACAGCATCCTAACACTGGTCTATCAAAACATACGGCTGACTCTCGGTCGTCTGAGGCATGCTCCCCATTCACCCTCTAGTCTCAATAACGGGATCCTAACACTGGTCTATCAAAACATATGGCTGACTCCCTGAAAAGGGGTCCTCCATAACTTCCTTTTAGGAAGATAAACTGTTTGTTAAATAGCCATGATGACCGAAGGGGACAGGATACCACAAATCAGACAGCAAAACATGAAATTGTCAAAGCCATCCTCTATCCCTTAAAAAAATAAGCTGTGAATGTTATTTCTGATTTTTCTTTTTAATTTAAAAGATAATGAATTAAGAACTATGCCTCGCTGGGCACGGTGACTCACGCCTATAATCCCAGCACTTTGGGAGACTAAGGCTAGGGGATTGCTTGAGGCCAGGGGTTCAAAGCCAGTCTAAAAACATATTATTAAATGGGTGTGGTAGCACATGCCTACATTCCCAGATACTTGGGAGGCTGAGGTGGGGGGATCACTTGAGCTAGGAGGTTGAGGCTGTGGTGAATCATATCATGCCACTTGAGCTCAGGAATCTGAGGCTTCGGTGAGCTGTATCGTCCCACTGCACTCTAGCCTGTGCAACAGAGCAAGACTGTTTCTTAAAAAACAAAAAACTGCTGGGCATGGTGGCTCACACCTGTAATCCCAGCACTTTGGGAGGCTGAGGTGGGCGGATCACGAGGTCAAGAGATCAAGACCATCCTGGCCAACATGGTGAAACCCTGTCTCTACTAAAAATAAAAAAAAAAATTAGCTGGGTGTGGTGGCACGCACCCACAGTCCCAGTTACTCGGGAGACTGAGGCAGGAGAATTGCTTGAACCCAGGAGATGGAGGTTGCAGTGAGCCAAGATCATGCCACTGTGCTCCGGCACCTGGCAACAGAGTAAGACTCTGTCTCAAAAAAAAAAAAAAAAAAAAAAAACAAACTGTGCCTTACAGTCTATGCAGGCCAGTAGCTGGGCACAGTGGCTCACACCTGTAATCCCAGCACTTTGGAAGGCTGAGGTGGGCAAACTGCCTGAGCTCAGGAGTTTGAGACCAGCCTGGGCAACATAGTGAAACCCCATCTCTACAAAAAATACAAAAAAATTAGCTGGGTGTGGTGGTGCACGACTATAGTCCCAGCTACTTGGGGGGCTGAGGTGAGAGGGCCAACATTGTGCCACTGCACCCCAGCATGGGTGACAGAGCAGTACCCCCATCTCTAAAAAAAAAAAAGGTGGCTAGTAAATATTCACTAAAATACAATTCAGCAGTTATGGTTTAGTAATAGGACATGATCTTTACGAAGCAGGGATGTGAATCTTTCAAGCAACAATGTCACATGCTGCACTACTCTGAGTTCTAGGGGCTACAGGACATCTGGTGAGTCCTCATCAGACAGCAGGCAGCTGGACAATTTTAACTTCAGAGGACACAGAAGTTTGGTGAGGTCGAAAGGTGGCAACCTCACCTTTGGGTCTGGATTTAAGAATATGGGCAGCCAAGTTCAAATACAGTAATAGCAGATCAGCTAGGATAGACTGTGTGCCTCCACAATTCTAAATGTTAACATTTTGAAGGTTGTTAAGATCTGGGTAGTAGCCATGTAAGTAATACCCATTAAAATGCATTCTGCTCATCTGCCTTACTTCCTTGTTCATACTTCTAGCTATAGCACAAATCCACTATTAAAATCTTTGTTTACAATGAAACGACTGTAAAAACATTCACAAAAGTTAATCCCTGCTGTTACTCTAGCCTCTATGACCTGACGATCTACACACTAAACGCATCCTCTTTATCCTCAGCGATGCGTTCCACAACCCCCATGGATGCCCGAAACCAAGGCAGTACCAAACTCTGTACATACTACGTTTTTCTCTATACATACATACCCATGATCAAGTTTAATTTATGAGTTAGGCCCAGAAATTGACAAAATAGATAACAATATACTGTAACATAAGTTATATGAACGGTCTCTCTCTCTCTCTCTGAAAATATCTTATTATATATAAGTGACACCACATAAGGGGATATTGCTGTATTCTCCCTGGTTAGGCCAGGGGTGGTGGGGAAGGTGGGAGAGAGATACAATGAACACGTTCACATTCTAACTTGAATCCCTGACATACAATTAGCTTTAGAGCTAAGAAACCACTGAGAAAGCATATGAAAGGATTGTATTTAAAGAGATTCCCATGTGCTTCCCCAGACAAAAGAACAGCTCCATCAACAAAGGACTGAGAAAAAAGAGCCCAATAAATCACAGTGCTGCCTTAGGCTGGGTCTTCTTTCTATGGACGTCTTTTTTTTTCTTTTTCCTTTTTTTTTTTATTTTTTAAGAGTTTGGCTGTTTACTAGTAGGACAGTTTAGGGAAAATGGCTGTAGAATAAGTAATAAAACTTTAAGTGAGACCAGATTTCACAACCCAGTAAAAGATCACTAGTGACTGACTATTTATGGAAAAGATGCATCACTGGCATACCTATGATCCCGCCAACGTCGTACCAAACGGACAGCTTGTCGGCTTCCGCCTCCTTCCAGCCGAAGTTGTTACTCAGATAAAAGGGCAGCCAGAAGAAGAAGGAGTAATTCACCAACTTCAAGCAGGCGTAGGCCAGTGAGTACTACAATAAAAGCATTCAACTCTCAGCGACAGGCAAAGAGCACAGCATGACCACAATTTTTAATATCATTAAAAAGCAAAACCAAATAAAGAATTTAGGATGAATAGGACCTGATTTTATAATTAAACATCTCTATAAAGTCCCACATGCCTGACTTCACCCTGTCTCCCTCTGCTCTTCATCCCTGTTCACTTCATGTACAGCAGGTCTTTGGAATAAAAAACACAAATGGCTACTTCTTAACTGTCTGCAGTTTCTCCTCGTATCAGTTCTCTGGTAGAAGCAAACCAGTGTTTTGAACCTACAAGGCAGGGCACATGCCTACATTTCTTTATTCACACAAAGATGAGTGGTATTCATGCCACTAACCAGCGTTAACCATAGGCAAAGAAGTCCCGGAAGCAACCCAGCCTCTACTGGGAGCAGCCAGACGGGCTTGGTTATTCTACCCCTTGCCAAGGCAACACCGTCAACAGAGAAGAGCAAGGGGGCTACACTACAGTTCCAAGGTCTAAGAAAAGAAGCAGCATGATCACTCCTTTCACACTACTTTCCAAAAGCTCCACATTCCCATGTCCAGTGGCAAAGAAGAGAGTCTCTCTGGCAAGTCAAAACTGAAAGAACATGTCATCATCATCAGCCTTGTGGCTCTCCCTTGAGGGGAAAAAACGCTGCAGCTGCATGGAGACAGTGGTGGGGCTGAGACGCCTATATTCAACACATTACTACCAGGAAATCCTGACATTTAGCATCAAAGGAAAAGGCGGGGGGAACAGAGGGGCTGACTTCAAAGGGTGTCTGGCTAGTATATTCTTTTCCCTAGAGCTGCCAGTTATTCCCTAGGTATCACTTGTTTTAAAACAGCTTCCCTGGCAGGCAACAGCCACCCCCTAGAGAGCCAAATCCCAATCACGAGTGCATTCTGACCAGACAGGCTGCTACAAAGACAAAGGAATTAAGTTAACTAGATTTCCTTCACGTCCCTGCCCATGTCAGAGAACAACAGCCAGTGAAGAACAAAGGAACAGCAAAAGAGGTCCATATTTAGTCACGACAAAGTTCCTTCTCAAAAATTAAACTACTACCGGCAGAGTGTCTTTAAAACCAGTTAAAAGATAATAATCAATAGCATAAGAACAGGCCTAAAGGAACCTGCATTTCTCTTATATTATATATATCATCACTGGGTTAATTGTGGAAAATGACACTTACACTTTAACTCAGAATTAACTCTTGTTGGAAATGTTAGTTCTCTCAGCTTGGGGGCACCGGCAGAAGGGGATTGACAGGCACGTGGCCTACAGATCACTCTACCTGAGGGATTGCATTCATAAAGCACCACTGACAAATGAAGTAACAACAGGTGCTTGATCAAAACACAAGAGCCCAGTGTTACAGGCTCTGGGGAAGACTGGAATAATTTCTATTCCGGGGGAAGGGGAACTGAGACACACGGACGGGTTGCGTGACTTATCCCAGGTGTCACAGAAAGTTAGTGGGTAAGCTGGAAACATAACCTAGGCCTCTTAACTTCCACTGCACTGCTAGAGCGCCCAAAACATCAAGACAGAAAAACTGCAGCAGAAGGGATTTAGTGTAGACGTTAGAAGGCTTTCCTGACTGCACAGGCTGGGGAAACACTGGAATGCATTACCAAGAAAGACTGTGGAGTGCTCTGTTCTGGACCCTTTAAAAGGAGACAAGCTGGGCACAGAGGCTCTCGCCTGTAATCCCAGCACTTTGGGAGGCCGAGGCAGGTGGATCACAAGGTCAGGAGATTGAGACCATCCTGGCTAACACAGTGAAACCCCATCTCTATAAAAATACAAAAAATTAGCCAGGTATGGTGGCACGCGCCTGTAATCCCAGCTACTCAGGAGGCTGAGGCAGGAGAATCACTTTAACTTGGAAGGTAGAGGTTGCAGTGAGCCGAGGTCACGCCACTGCACTCCAGCCTGGGCGACAGAGCAAGACTCTGTCTAAAATAGATGAATGAATGAATGAGGGCAAGGCAGGCTTAGGAACCATTCACAACCCTTCTTCTCGGTCCACATATAATTCTATAACACTTCAAAAGGCCTAAAAGTACACATTAAAAAATAATCAACTTTGCCTTTTTAATCACAGGCTAGATCAGGGTCAGGAAAGCAGGGCTCTTTGGCCAAGTCTGGCCACGCCTAACTGTCCCATGTTTTCCGTGGCTTATTTTGCTCTACAGAGCTAAGTGGTTGTGGGAGAGACTGTACGGTTCCCCGAAGTCAAAAATATTTACTCTCTGCCTCTTCATGGAAAAGTTTGTCAACCCCTGTGTTAGAGATCAGATAAGCTGAGGGGCACTAGACAATACTCCTCAGAACATATATTCCTAAAATAAAGTGTCCAAGAGAGGCTTAATACTTAAGGAAGCTTTATCCCAGGCAGAGGAGATGTCAAGGGCTCTCGTACCACGCTGGCTGTGGTGAGATGTGAGTGGTCCTTACCGGTATGACTCCAGGAAGGCAACAGGCCTGGTAGAAGCTTACTGCCTTGACTTGGGCAACAGAACTATCATCTTGGATTGAATAATTCGGCTCAGATTCGTCTTCATTTTCACCATTAATTAATGGCCTGTGTGAGTCTTCTTCAAAACTTTCTTCTGCCTCAATACCTGAAAGACCTAAAACAACAGCGACAGCCACTGTTTATGGAGTCCCCACCATGTGCGAAGGCTCTGCATTTACCACTACTTATGGGGTTCATGTTTTTTTCATTTCCATTTTACAGAGGCGGCAACAAAGGCTCAGAGACCAAGGTCAACTAAGGTCAATTAAAGTCACACAGTCTGTCTAAAAATATTTAAAAGATACAAGAACTGTACATCTGTTTGCTTCTGTGGTTTCGCCTGTACGTAATCTGAATTTAACTACAGGTAAGTATCGTTTTTATGAATCACTTTTATGGATGAAAAGAAATGTTTCCAGAAGTGAAATGAGAAATACATCCACGCTGATTCCTAGCCAATGTCTCAAGTATAAAAATCATCTGCAAACGCGAAGATTTTCCTGTATCTATAAAAGACGTGCGTCACTCCCCTCAAACATGTGCAGCTGTGCCAGGGGCTGGCTACAATGTCGACAGGACTCAAACGGCAGTACTGTTCTCCTTTCACTCACTAAAAGGAGCTCATAGTTTTCCTAGGAAAAAAGAGATTTGATTTCTTGGCCTCAGATTTCCTTTTGGCCATAATAGTCAGACATTCGGAATAGAAGGGACGGCTTCTCCTCACCAATTTCTTCTGGTGACACCAGGAGTCCAAAGAAGATAACGATCCCACCAGCAAACTGCACAGACGCCGTCACCAGAAAGGCATACTGGAGGAGAGGGGGGAAAGGTGGTCCTTACACATCTGGGGACAGTCATCAGAAGCACATTCATTAAAGGCGCATGGGGGGAGGTGGGGGTTGGGGAAAGGCGGGAAGGGAGACTGAGAAGCAAGGAAGCGCCCAGTGCTTCTACTGGGCCAGGCGCTGTGCAAAGTGTTCTACTCGTGTTTTCTCATTTAATTCTTCCTAGTGATTCTATGAAGCTCAGAGAGGAGAATTAAGGTCCCCTGGATACTAAGTGGCACTGTTATGATTGTGAAATCAGAACTAGCTCCAAAAATCTAGTTCTTTGCATCACACAGCCTCCCATAAAAGACTATCAGGGCTGGGTGCAGTGGCTCACACCTGTAATCCCAGCACTTTGGGGGGTCGAGGTGGGTGGATCACCTGGGTCAGGAGTTCGAGACCAGCCTGGCCAACCTGGTGAATCCCTGGGATTTTTGAATACAAAAATTAGCTGGGCGTGGTGGTGCGCACCTGTAATCCCAGCTACTCAGGAGGCTGAGGCAGGAGAAACACTTGAACCTGGGTGGCGGAGGTTGCAATGAGCCGAGACCGCACCACTGCACTCCAGCCTGGGCAACAGAGCGAGACTCCATCTCAAAAAAAAAAGACAGTATCTGCTCTTGAAGATATTACATACAGTTGAGGGGATTAAACAATACCCAAAACAATATTATAAAGCACCATATAGTTGAATAAATGAGAAGGCCCAGTCCTACCAAGAAACACATATAGGAATCCAGAAGAAGGAAAGAGCTGAAGAGGCTGAGGCAGTAAGACAACGTCTTCGGGAAGAATGGAAAAGCGAAGCCAATTGCCCATCTTTCCAGGCACACAGTAAGCAAAGGCACAGGGCGGAGGGGACAGAAAGCCTACTGCCCAACTCAAGGAGAGGGCTTCCGCTAGGGGATAATAGGGAAGAAAACCGATGTGAAAAGGTGACAGCTAGAGGAAAGCCTCTCCACCTGCAGGCTGCACGGCTGATTTAACAGAGAACGTAGCCTGATGTAGACACTCTAAATTTTTTAACTAGTGAGTGAGAAAATTAAAGCAGTGTTTCCAGAAGTCAAATCTGAGAGCAGCACAGAAAGTGAACTGAAATTCTCATCTGAACCAATTATGCAATCCAGATGTGAGGCTAAGAAGCCTAGAATAAAGGTGGTCATAAATGAAGGACTTCTCAACGACCCTAACTATACCAAAATTCGTGGTGAGCTGTTTAAAAATGTATCTACTTTCTCCCTTTTTTTTTTTTTGAAATGGAGTCTCACTCTGTCACCAGGCTGGAGTGCAGTGGCGCAATCTCGGCTCACTGTAACCTCCAACTCTCTGGTTCAAGCCATTCTCCTGCCTCAGCCCCCTAAGTAGCTGGGATTACCGGCATGCATCACCACACCCAGCTAATTTTTGTTATTTTTAGTAGAGATGGGGTTTCACCATGTTGGCCAGGATGATCTTGATCTCCTGACCTCATGATCTGCCCACCTTAGCCTCCCAAAGGGCTGGGATTACAGGCATGCAGCATCATGCCTGGCCAAAAATGTATCAACTTTTTAAAAGAGCAACTTACTTTTAATAATTTAGGTTTTTGAGTAGGTAATATATTCACATGATTCAAACAACAGAGGAATAAGATGTACAGTAAAGCTGGGTGCGATAGCTCATGCCTATAATCCCAGCCTTTGGGAGTCCAAGGTGGGCAGATCACTTGAGGTCAGGAGTTCGAGACCAGCCTGGCCAACATGGCAAAATGCCATCTCTACTAAAAATACAAAAATTACCCAGGTGTGGTGGCATACACCTGTAATCCCAGCTACTTGGGAGGTTGAGGCAGGAGAATCACCTGAACCCAGGAGGCAGAGGTTGCAGTGAGCTAACATCTCACTATCGCACTGCAGCCTGGGTGACAGAGTGAGACTCCATCTAAAAAAAAAGAGGGGTATAATAAAAAAAATTTTTTTTAATGTACAGTAAAAACTTTCCCTCCCACCCTGCCTTCCCCATCTGCTCAATTCTCCCAATTTTCCCAACACATAACCATTGCTGTTCATTTTCACTGCCCAGAAATTGTTTTGGAAACATACAAGCTAATGCAAGCAGATTCTCTTTCATTCTTCCTTGTTACACAAATGGCATTCAGTATAGTTTTGCACCCTTGCTGTCTTCACTTAGCACCCTTTTGAGATTGTTGCACTGCACTCCTCTCTCAGCACACAGAGAGCTTTCTAATTCGACTTCACAGCTGCACAGCATTGCTCTGAACAGGTTTATCACAGTTGAACTATGTCCCTCTTCGCTGACACCTGCTTTCAGTCTTTGGCGATTACAAACAATGCCAAAATAAAGAATCTTGTAGATACATCACTTGTATGTATTTCAGTCTATTCATCTGGTGAATGATTCCTGGAGGTGGAACTGCTCAGGTGAGTATTTCTAATTTTGATAGACACTGCCATACTGACCCCTCCAGGAGTTAGTGACTTCGTATTCTTTCAACTGCAGTGCCTGTCTCTTCAGGTTCTTATAAGTACGACTTTAAGAAAAGTTTGTCTTCAAACTTTTGGATTTTTGCCAGTCTAATAAGTATACAGTATAGTTTTTCTTTCTTTTTTTTTTTTTTTTAACAGCATAGCTTTAATTTGCATTTCGCTGTTGACTAACTTCCATAAGAACAGAGATTTTTGTCTCTTTTGGCCAGTTCTATTATTTACAGTGCCTAGGAGCACATACAGAGAGTTCAGTATTTATTAAATGAATAAGCAGTGAGTAGAATATTTTGCATATGTTTACAAGCCATTTCTATATCCTTTCCATGAACTATACATTCAAATTCTGTAGCTTTCTGTTGTTGGTGTTTTTGTTTTTATCAATTCATGGATGCGCTTTATATATTATGGGAATTGCTCTTCATTTTTTTATGTTTTTTTGAGACAGGGTCTGTCACCCAGATTGGAGTGCAGTGGTATTTCTTGGCTCACTGTACCCTCCTGCTCCCAGGCTCAGGACTACAGGCATGCACTCTGACACTCAGCTAATTTTTTAGTTTATTGTGGATACGAGGTCTCATTATATTGCCCAGGCTGGTCTTAAACTCCTGGGCTCAAGCCTCCCAAAGTGCTGAGATTATAGGTGTGAGCCACTTTGCCTGGCCCAGATAGTCCTTTACCTGTAATGTGAGTTGCAAATTCTTCTCAACTGTTTATATGTCTTTAGACTCTCTATAGTGTTTTTGTTATAAATAATTTTTCTGTGTTTGAATATATCAGAAGTTTGTCTACTTTCCCTTTAAATTTATTTTTGATATGGAGTCTTACTCTGTCACCCAGGCTAAAGTGCAGTAGTGTGACCTTGGTTCACTGCAACCTCTGCCTCCTGGGTTTAAGTGATTCTCCTGCCTCAGCCTCCCAAGTAGCTGGAACTACAGACATGCACCACCACACCCAGTAAATTTTTGCATCTTTTTTAAGTAGAGACAGGGTTTTACCACGTTGGCCAGGCTGGTCTCAAACTCCTGACCTCGGGTGATCCTCCTGCCTTAGCCTTCAAAGTGCTGGGGTTATAGGCACAAGCCACCATGACTGGCCAGAAGTTTGCCTACTTTTAATACAAGTCTTGCCCGATCCAGACACAGTTCTACGAAGTTTTAAGTGGCCACATTATTTAATACATAAAAAGCAATACACACACACCCACACACACACACAGAATGCGAGAGTTAGAAAACAATACCCACCTCATAACCATACTGAAGAACAGAAGAAGCTAGGCACGCTCCCAAAATATTGCCCACTGAAGCGCAGGCACTCCAGAGACCAAAAACAACTCCTCGTCTAAGATGCAAAACAGTGGAGACAAAGGACCATGGTCAGAAGAGACAGTCTGGGCAGTTCAAAATACAAAACAGCCAAAACAACCAAGGTGCATACTACCAAGACTAAACAGGCTATTTAAAAAGCTTTTTAAAATTCACCATAATGACAAAATGTCAAGTCTCTTCTAACTCTATGATTTCAGTAAAATTTAATTTAGAGCTCATAGAAAGACACTGTTCAGAGAATTTAAAAACACAAGCCACAAAAGAGAAAATATTTGCATATCACTTATCTGATAAAAAATTGTTATCCAGATTGGGCGCAGTGGCTCATGCCTGTAATCCCAGCACTTTGGCAGGCCAAGGCAGACAGATCACCTGAGGTCAGGAGATCACCTGAGACCAGCCTGGCTAGCATGGCAAAACCCCATCTCTACTTAATTAGCCAGGCATGATAGTGGGTGCCTGTATTCAGCTACTCGAGAGGCTAAGGCAGGAGAATCGCTTGAACCCGGGAGGCAGAGGTTGCAGGGAGCCGAGATCAGGCAATTGCCCTCTTGCACTCCAGCCTGGGGGACAGAGCAAGACTCCGTCTCCAAAACCAAAACTATATCCAGAATATAAGGCAATATCACTCTTGAAACTCAGTATAACATGACAACAGACAATGCGATTGAATGTTAAAAAGCATGAATCTACAATCATCTCAAAATAAAAAGTCTTTGAAAAGTGGGCAAAAGATTTTAACAGATACTTCATATAAAACGATGTAATACAAAAAACACTCAACTGGCCAGCGAGGTGGCTCAGGCCTGTAATTCCAGCCTCTGGGAGGCCTGAAGTAGGTGGGTCACTTGAGGTCAAGAGTGACCTCAACATGGTGAAACCCCATCTCTGCTAAAAATACAAAAATTAGCTGCACATGGTGGCTGCACACCTATAATCCCAGCTAACTGGGAGGCTGAGGCCAGAGAATCACTTGAACCCAGGAAACAGAGGTTGCAGTGAGCCGAGATGAGGCCACAAAACTCCAGACTAGGTGACAGGGTGAGACCCTGTTTCAAAAACAAAACAAAGCAAAAATTAAAAAAAAAAACAACACACGCTCAACATTATTAGACATTAGAAAAATGCAAATTCAAGTCACAATGAGATAACATTACACGCTTATTAGAATGGCTAAAATAAAAAAACACCAAGCACGCCAAGTGTTAGGAAGGACACAGAGCAAAATCAAACCATTATGCTCTGCTGATGGGAATGTAAAATGGTACTACCACTTTAGAAGAGACTGCCAGTATCTTAAAAAGGTAAACACACACCTGACATGTGATCCAGCCACTTTACTCCTAGGTATTTACCCAAGAGAAATGAAAGCATATGTCCACACAAGGATCTGTATACAAATGTTCCCAGGAGCTTTATCTGCAATAGCCCAAAACTGAAAACAACCCAAATGTTCATCCACAGGTGAATGAATAAACATGAATAAATTTCTAATTATCCTGAATAAAGGAAGGCACAAAGCCTGGGCATGTTGGCTCATGCCTGTAATCCCAGCACTTTGGGAGGCCGAGGTGGTCAGGAGGCAGAACAGCCTGAGGCCAGGAACTTGAGACCAGCCTAGGCAACATAGTGAGACCCTTTCTTTACAGGAAAAAAAAAAAGATGATTTAAAAAAAGAGTACATACTGTATGATTCCATTTTTGGCTGGGCGTGGTGGCTCACGCTGTAATCCTAGCACTTTGGGAGGCCGAGGCAGGCAGATCACCTGAGGTCGGGTGTTTGAGAGCAGCCTGACCAACATGGAGAAACCCTCTCTCTACTAAAAATATAAAATATTAGCCAGGCGTGGTGGCACATGCCTGCAATCCCAGCTACTCACGAGGCTGAGGCAAGAGAATAGCTCGAATCCAGGAGGCAGAGGTTGAAGTGAGCCGAGATTGTGTCACTACACTCCAGCCTAGGCAACAAGAGCAAAACTCCATCTCAAAAAAAAAAAAAAACAAAAACAAAAATTAGCTGGGCATGGTGGTACACACGTGTAGTCCCAGCTACTTGGGAGGCTGAGGCAGGAGAATTGCTTGAACCCGGGAGGTGGAGGTTGCAGTGAGCTGACATTGTGCCATGACACTCCAGGCTGGAGACAGCGCGAGACTCCGTCTAAAAAAAACTACTTCAAGGTTTAGGGGAAAAAAACATCCCATTTGATCAAGCCCCAAAGTCTGGCATTCTTCATCTGAATCTTATTAGACCCCTTGTTATGCGACCTTGGGCAGGTGAACAACCTTAGACCTCTTTTTCCTTATCTTGATTTAATGTAAAAAGGTTAAATAAGATCACTCTCAAAAAAGGCAGGGAAGGCAAAACCCAAAGGAAGATATGCAACGGATAGGAAATGAGGTGTTTTTTTTTGTTGTTGTTTTTTTTTTTGAGACGGAGTTTTGCTCTTGTTACCCAGGCTGGAGTGCAATGGTGCGATCTTGGCTCACCACAACCTCCGCCTCCTGGGTTCAGGCAATTCTCCTGCCTCAGCTTCCTGAGTAGCTGAGATTACAGGCACACGCCACCATGCCCAGCTAATTTTTGTATTTTTAGTAGAGACGGGGTTTCACCATGTTGATCAGGATGATCTCGATCTCTTGACCTTGTGATCCACCCGCCTCAGTCTCCCAAAGTGCTGGGATTACAGGCGTGAGCCACTGCGCCCGGCAGAAATGAGATTTTTATGTTCCCTAAAGAAATGAGTTAAGAAAAAGATTGAGACCTCCTGCCTTAGCCCACACTCAGAATCTGCCCACAGCCCAAAGAGTGGCAGTAATGTGTGTCCTGGGCCGGACGCGAACGTGAAACCCTCTCTCCCTAAACTCTTGGCTTGCTAACAAAAGACGTGGGTGGTATCGAAGGCATCGAAGTAACTGGCTTTGACAAGTCTGAAAAATCCAACATGGAAACCACTTAAACAGAGAAATCAGAGAGGAAGGAAGTGGCCTACCCGGCTTGCCCAAACCAGTTGCCCATAACAGCAACCACACAGGGCCAACCAGTGGACTGCAGCAGGCCGTTCACAATCCACAGGCAGCAGTACAGCCACGTGTTGTAGAAATGCAGCCATTCTGTGAGCGCTCCAAAGACAAAGACCTTGGAGAGGAGGAAACAGAAGGGATATGTAACAATTTCAGTGGAAGCCACTCCCCACGCTTGCTTCAGAGACCACGTGATACACTCACACAGCCTGTAAGTCATGTGGCCGGCATCACGAAGGTCCTGCTCACAGCGGCAATGAGGAGGCGGCCACCCAATCACTGCCCACCAGAGAGGAGGAAATGCCAAAGACATCCAACTGACATCTTCAAGGCTAAAAAGTGAATTCCTCATTTTACATCTATTTCCATCTCCTCACCCTCAGACTGTGCATGTGGAGGGAACAGCAACCTCCAGAGGGCCACTGTGAGGACAGAATGAGCCCAGGGAGGCCACCCTCCCGGAACAGTACCAGGCGCTGCTCTGGGCAGAGGCACGGGGTGAGTGCTAGCCAGTGTTACGGCTGCAGCTCCTGAGTTAATCAATGAAAGCGAAACCTATCGAACTTGTGATCTGCTGAATCATTTAGCAGCTTTCATCAAGTGGTTGCTTTTTTCCAGGCATTTTGTTCAAGTGGGCACTTTATCTACAGTCAAACTCTTATTTTGAGAATACTCTGCATGATTAATAGTATGTAGAATACTGTCTGGTTCCAGTTATAAGACATTCTGGAATAGGCAAAACTGTAAAAACAGAAAAATGAGCAGGGGTTGCCAGGGGCTGGAGAAAGGAGGGACAGTCACGAAACTACTCCTTTGTCGAAAGTCTGCACAATATGCTTAAAGAGGGCAAGCTTATGTACATACTGCAGTTTTTAAAATATATATAAAAAGCAAAAAAGTATGTATACAGGTTTTAAAATAGTATGTTTATATGCGTGGGTGAGCAACTCATAAATAAATAAAGTGCTTCCATCTCTAAAATTTCAAGGGGAAAAAAAGGTTTTATTTACACTCAAGTGACAAACAGTGAAAAATAATAGTAGGCCAGGTGCAGGGGCTTGTGCCTGTAATTCCAGTGTTTTGGGAGGCTAAGGAGGAAGGATCACTTGAGGCCAGGAGTTCAAGAACCAACCTGGGCAACACAGCGAGACCCCATGTCTAAAAAATTTAAAAATTAGCTGAGCATGATGGCACAGACCTACAGTCCCAGCTACTTGGGAGGCTAAAGTGGGAGGATTGCTTGAGCCTGGGAGTTCAAGGGTGCAGGATCACACCGCTACACTCCAGCCTGGGCAGCAAAGCAAGATCTTATCTCTAGAAAATAATAATCATAATAAAGTAGGGTCTAAATAAACTCCATGGTTTCATTTAATCAACAAAAATTCCTGACTAGAAGTTAGTAAGCAACGACAATTGATCAGATATGGAGGCCAGTATGGAGGCCAGGCGCGGTGGCTCACACCTGTAATCCCAGCAGTTTGGGAAGCTGGGGAGGGTAGATCATACGAGGTCAGGAGTTTGAGATTAGCCTGGCCAACATGGTAAAACCCCAACTCTACTAAAAATACAAAAATTAGATGGGCATGGTGGTGCACACCTGTAGTTTCAGCTACTCAGGAGGCTGAGACAGGAGAATCGCTTGAACCCTGGAGGTGGAGGTTGCAATGAGCCAAGATTGCACCACTGCACTCCAGCCTGGCAACAGAGCGAGACTCTGTCTCAAAAAGAAAAAAAAAAAATTAATTGGATATGGATCCTGCCCTATACAGCACTTGTTTCAAGCACCTCACATACAGGAACTCACAGTCCTCACTGCCACCCGGGGAGAGGTAAAATGCATATCTCCATCTGAAGTTCACAGAAATCATAAGCTAGGAAACCACAGAAGAGAGACAGAAACCCAGGCTTTCCTGGTCTAGGGAATCTGTGATTTTAACCACTGCACACCCACCCTAAGGGAAAGCAAGACTGAAAGAGAAATAACCAGGCTAAGCAGTGGACTGTGTCAAGTGCCTGCAAAGAAACAGGCACGGGAGCTCAGAAGAGGGAATAACATTCTCAAAGAGGTGTCCTTTGGCCAATGCTTTAAGGAGACAGTGAGTTGGACTACGGAGAGCTGAAAAGGGGACCATCCAAGGCAGGCAGAACAGCAGGAACAAAAGCACCGAGAGAGAGAGGAGGATGCTAGGGGCCTGGAAAGCAATCCGGTGTGTCTGGAGCAAAGGGATGAAGCAGAGTCACAATTATGACGGGAAGGCAGGCTGGGGCCAGGGTCTAGTGAATGCCAGGCCATTTATTCAGACTACTGATTAACTCTGCTGGTGCCCGAGGGACAACAAAGAAACCCGATTAGAAACTTCCTTTTAAAAGACTCATCTGGCCAGGCGCAGTGGCTCACGCCTGTAATTGCAGCACTTTGGGAGGCTGAGGCGGGAGGATCACTTGCGGTCAGGAGACCAGCCTGGCCAACATGGTGAAACCCTATATCTACTAAAAATACAAAAATTAGCCAGGTAGTGACACGCACCTATAGTCCCAGCTACTCAGGAGGCTGCACAGGAGAATGAATTGCTTGAACCCGAGGCAAAGTTTACAGTGAGCTGAGATCTCACCACTGCACTCCAGCCTGGGGTGACAGAGCAAGATTCTGTCATGCAAAAAAAATAGACTCATCTAAGTGAAAAGGCAAATGAGGGATTCAAACAATGAGGATTAATCTTACTATTCTATTCTACAGAGAATTAAGGGGATTACTTGGATTCTAAAATACCTGACCAAAATAGTAATAATAGTAAGACCTTTTCAACTTACCACTAAGGCAGAAGAGCACATGCCGAAAGACAGAACCCATCGTAAATTCAACCGATCCCCAATGATGCCACTGATGAAAAGGCCCTAAAAATAAAGCATTTTATTTCACAGCTCTAAATGATAACACAGAATGAAAAAGTAACATGCATTGCAAAGCAAATGAGACAAACACAGATATTATTTAAAACTCTTATTCACATGCCTAGACTAGCTGTCTATGGGGATTTCACAAATGTTTCAAGAAATGGCCGTGGGCTGGATAACAGGGTCAGCAATAAAGTAAAATTTAAAAGTTATGAAAATAAAAGGAAGAAAAGATTGAAAAAAAGAAAAGAAATGGCAGTGGGCTTCTGCATACCCTGCCACATACATACCAAAATTCAGGGCAAACTGGTTTTACTTGATTCCCTAACTGGAAAAAAATTAATAAATAAGAATGACTCTAATAAAACAAGCACACAAATCTACTTCATTTTCTAGACTAGATTAACCCCTACCCATCAGGTGTAAGCTCTCCCTCAGGGATTCCTCTTAGCCAGCTGCACTCTGGGTTAACATGTGTTACCCACACCCCGCAGTTTCTGCTCCAATCTTGCAAAAAGTGGAACAGAAGCTTCGGGGCACACTACCTGCCTGTTTAATCTGACCCTTGGTTTCACGACATCCCAAGGCAGGGAGAATAGGAAGGCAGAGACAATAATTAGCTGAAGACAGGTTCTGCCTTCTGCTCTACTCCCACTGAGTGGCTGGAATTAAAATGCTGAGATCATGGCAGGAAGTGAGACTGAAGACCTTAAGGGCAGCATATTTTAGGTTTCTTCCATCAATATATAAAATGTCTTGACTTAAAACCTAAATTCAGTTAGGACCAGGTGTTTCTAATAAATTGACTATCTCTACATTAGAAAAACTTGGCTGGGCATGGTGTCTCATACCTGTAATCCTAGAACTTTGGAAGGTGGGAGAATGGCTTGAGGCCAACAGTTCAAGACCAACCTGGCCAACACGGCAAGAACCCATCTCTAAAAAAAAAAAAAATCGGCCGAGCACAGTGGCTTACGCCTGTAATCCCAGCACTTTGGGAGGCCAAGGTGGGCAAACCTCACTTGAGGTTAGGAGTTCAAGACCAGCCTGACCACATGGTGAAACCCTATGTCTATTAAAAATACAAAAATTAGCCAGGCATGGTAGCAGATGCCTGTAATCCCAACCTACTCAGAAGGCCAAGGCAGGAGAATTGCTTGAACCCAGGAGACAGAGGCTGTAGTGAGCCAAGATCATGGCACTGCACTCCAGCCTTGGTGACAGAGTGAGACTCCGTCTCAAAAAAATAAATAAATAAAAATAATTAACCAAGTGAACATTTAGAAACTACTTCAGAACTTTCACCCAGTATTTCACATTGCCTGGACACTGAGAATTAAAAGGCATTTTTAATAAGGCACACTTAAAGACAAAGTAAGATGCTGGGGAGAAAAGGAAGCCTCTTCTCACAGTCCACCTTCCAGCTGCTGCTACTATCGGCTCCGCAACTCTAATGTGGCAGCCACCACAGCGTTCCTACAGCCAGCCAGAGATGCCAGCCGAGTTATTCCTTGCCACCGTGGAATGTCTCCCAGGATGCTACAGATCCCACCATCCCACTTTCTTTTTTTTATTATTTTTTTGAAATGGAGTCTCATTTTGTCATCCAAGCTGAATGCAATGGCACAATCTCAGCTCACTGCAACCTCCGCCTCCCGGGTTCAAGCAATTCTGCTGCCGCAGCCTCCTGAGTAACTGGGACTACAGGCACCCACATTCAACTAATTTTTGTATTTTTATTAGAGACAGGGTTTCTCCATGTTGGCCAGGATGGTCTCGAACTCCTGACCTCAAGTTATCCATCTGCTTCAGCCTCGAAAACTGTTAGGATTACAGGCATGGCCACCACACCCAGCCCTACCTTCCTTACCACTCCACCCCAGCCACCTGATCCATTCCTCACCCATCTCTGAGGACTGGAAGCCCTAGGGCTCAGTCTTCACACCTCTTCCCTGCCCTCACCTTTTCTCTTGATCACTTCATGCAGCCTCAGTTTTTATCTATAAATCATCCATAGGCCAAGAACTCCAAAAACTTGTATCTCCAGCCTGAACCTTCACCTTCAACTCCAGACTCAATGACCAAGTGTCTGCCCTTTACCATCTAAGCAGTAGTGGTCAAATGTAACACATCCAAAACTGAGTCCTCAAAGCCTTCTCTCTCTCCCCAGTCTCCACTCTGCCATGACACTTCCACCCTTGAGGTATTCTTGACACTTCTCTTACATTCCACATTCAAGAGGGAAAAAACATTATTGGCTTTACCTCTAAAACACTGCTAAAATCGACTTCCCCCCAGCCTCTGTTACTGCTACGCTGGACCCAAGCCACCATCATCCTTCACCTCAAAAGAACTCAACTCCCAGAGCAGCAAGGGCTCCTGTCCAAACGTAAGTCAGATCTTGCCACTGCTCTGCACAAAACCTTCCAGTAGCTCCTGTCTCACTCAAGATTAAAGCCAAAGGCCCAACAAAGGCACCAAAGCCCTACAGATCTGAGCCCCACCATGTCTCTGGCCTCAGTCCTTACAGCTCTGATCCAAGCACACTGACCTCACTCACCTGCTCAGGTCTTCACTCAAATGCCTGCTGCCTCCTAAGGTCTCCCGGCTGTGCTATGTAAAATTACAACCTCACTCAGGCCCCTTTAGTCCCCCTTTTCTGCTTTATTTTTCTCCATTGCACTTATCACCTTCAAATATACCCTATAATTTATTTATAGCATTTGGTTACTGTCTATCTCCCGTAGCTCCGCACCCAGGAATATAGGCTCTATAAAGGCAGGGCATTTTTGTGTTGTTCAGGGTAAATTCCCATTGACCTACGCTAGATGCACGATAAATATCTAACGAATGAACAAATGAATGAATGGGAAGAACAAAAAAATACAAACTTCAAAAATACTGAACTCTGCCTCAGTCAGCAAATTCAAAATCCCTTACAAACTCTGTAAGGCTCAGAGTCATTTCCTTTTACATTTTTCTTTACCTTTAAACCCTAGAGTTCCAAAACTTACCACAGCATAGGAGAAGAGGAAAATGGTATCCAGGGTTCCGAGGAAAAGAGTCGCTTTCTCCAAACTGGGGAACAAATGGTTGTGGCTCCAGATCTACAGTAAGACACAGGAACAGGTCAGCCCCTGTGGGATCTGCTAGGGTTTTCTGTTTCTCAAAGCCCCTTCGCAAATACTGCCAAAACACCAGCCATGCTCAAGACCAACTTTTACTTCTGATGCATTTAGAAATACCTAGTACCTATTTTCTTGCTTTTATTGTTTTTAATTGACACATAATAATTGTACATATTGAGGGAGTACAGCGTGATATTTCAACATATATTCAATGTGGAATGATCAAATCGGGGCAATTAACCTATCACCTCCAACAGGTATCACTGGAATGCTCCAACGTTAGTGACTAAGTCAATTCGGTGAGAAAGTAGGGCAGTAAGTTTAAAAGCAGACATTTAGAAGAAATAAATTCTGATTATAATCTTTGTGTTTGGCAGAATTCAATATCCAATCAATTAGCAATTATGTCTACCATCTAGGGCCATACTACCCTGAAAGCTCAATCTCATCTGATACACAAAGTTAAGTGGGGTCAGGCCCAGTTAGTACTTGGATGGGAGAAATTATGTCTAAGTCCATCTAAGGAACATTTTACAATACTCTTCAAAAATAATTTCCTAAGCTCATTGGTTGCCTAAGGCTGAGGAAAGCAAGAAGGGGTGACTAAAAAGGGGTGCAAGAGAATCTGGGGGGTGATGTTCTATATCTTCACTGGGAATAGTTAGAACACTATATGTATTTGTCAAAACTTGTAGAACTATATACTAAAATGGGAATTAAAAATCACATCTTAATTTTTAAAATGGAAAGAAGTATCTTTCATTAACCACTTCAATCAAATCGCAATGTCTTGCCAACTTTATTACCCTTCTAGTCTAGTACTCAGAAAACTTAACTCTAGTCCTAAGTATTTGTTGCCCTTCAGAGGCCACTTATCCCAATACTTCTCAACTTCTTCATAGGCACATATAGAAAACGATCTTTGTACAACACACTGGGGTGAACTGAAGAAGCTGTTCAAGGTCAGAGTTGATTAGCCTGGGAATATCCACCAGCCTAAAATCAGAAGAAAGCCATCCCAAGCCCCACCTAGCAATCCCAGGAGCTTAGGGAAGGGGTATCACAGACCACCTACAACCTATTCAGGACAAAGCAGCTGGGTGGCTCTCACAACTCCTCTCAGTGGCCAGTTGACAGAACCATGAAACAAGTTAGGTTCTATTTGTTTTTTTTTTGTTTTTTGTTTTTTGAACTGGAGTCTCACTCTGTCACCCAGGCTGGAGTGCAGTGGCATGATCTTGGCTCACTGCAATTTCCACCTCCTGGGTTCAAGCGATTCTCCTGCCTCAGCCTCCTGAGTAGCTGAAATTACAGGCGTGCACCACCATGCACAGATAATTTTTGTATTTTTAGTAGAGACATGGTTTTGCTATGTTAGCCATGCTGGTCTTGAAATCCTGGCCTCAAGTGTTCTGCCCACCTCCGCCTCCCAAACTGCTAGGATTACAGGTGTGAGCCACTGCGCCTAGCCAAGAGTTAGGTTCTTTCTAACTGCAAAATGCCATGTATGATACTGTAGGCAAGGTTTATATTCTTCAGCTGTGTTTAAATGGATCCAGTTTTTCTCATTCCTTTAGGATAAGAACCAAGTCTTACACACACACAGACACACACACACACACACACATGGTCTAACAGTGAAAAGAACCCATGGTTATTTTGTCAGTATCTTTTGTCATGAATTAAATAATGTCCATCCATTTTCATTTTAAAGATGAGCAGGATATGTGTAACCAGGCCGTGAGAGGAACCACTGAAGGAACTGGGAAATATAAATTTATGCTGAAAAAGAGAGACGAGGATCTGTGAGTTTTCCTCAACTTTATCAAGGGTCATCAGTGGAAAAAAGATCTCAGTTAGTTTATAGAACTGTCAAAAATGTAACAGGCTGCTTCACAGTGTAGTGAATTTCCCCTGCAATAGACATCCCTGAGAGAAACAGGAAGGTAATTTCTCAAAGATACAGAAGGGATTCTTTAACTGGATGGGAGATAAACCAGATCATAGCCCTCCAACTGGGGTCCATGGAACTCAGGGAGACAGAGAGGCCTCCAGAGCCTTGCTCCAAGGGGGTCTGCAAGGTCAAAATTATTTGTACCACACTAAAATGTGATTTATCCTTTACACTTTGTTCCCTTCTGCACTGATGGTGCAAGAGCAGTGGAGAGAAACTGCCGTGCCTTCGCATAAACCAAGGCAGTAATGCCAAATAGCACTAGGGATCACTGCATTGCTCACTGCAACATGCTCACAGAAAAAAGAACAAAAAAACGATTTTAAAAAGCCAATGTCAGGCCAGGCGCAGAGGCTCATGCCTGTAGTCCTAGCACTTTGGGAGGCCGATGTGGGCAGATCATGAGGTCAAGAGATCGAGACCATCCTGGCTGTCATAGTGAAACCCCATCTCAACTAAAAATACAAAACTTAGCTAGGCATGGTGGCGTTTGCCTGTAATTCCAGCTACTCAGGAGGCTAAGGCAACAGAATCACTTAAACCTGGGAGGCAGAGGTTGCAGTGAGCCAAGATCATGCCACCACATTGCAGCCTGGCAACAGAGTGAGACCCCGTCACAAAAAAAAAAAAAAAAAGGTGGGGTGCATTGGCTCACACTCTCAAAAAAAAAATTAAATTTTTAAAGACTATTGAAGAGAAAAATCACAATCAGCAATTTTAAAGCAACATCTTTTTTTTTTTGAGACGAAATCTTGCTCTGCCACCCAGGCTGGAGTGCAATGGCATAATCTCGGCTCATTGCAACCTCTGCCTCCCGGGTTCAAGTGATTCTCCTGCCTCAACCTCCCAAGTAGCTAGGATAACAGGTGCATACCACCAAGCTCAGCTAATTTTTGTATTTTTAGTAGAAAAAGCGATTCACCATGTTGGCCAGGATGGTCTCGAACTCCTGACCTCATGATCTGCCCACCTCGGCTTCCCAAAGTGCTGGGATTACAGGCATGAGCCACCACACCCAGCACATCTTTTTTATTTTTAATCCACGTCAGGTGGGTAATGTGTACACTTTCTAACAAGGTTCTAGGGTGGCACATCTCACACTTGCATGTGAATACCCAATAATCCAGCTTATGAACCACAAAAGAATCAAAGAAATATATCTCTAACAAAAAATAAAATCCCCAAATCATAAATAATAAAGTGTGATTTTGGGCCAGTCGCAGTGGTTCATGCCTGTAATCCCAGCACTTTGGGAGGCCAAGGCAGGCAGATCACGAGGTCAGGTGTTCAAGACCACCCTGACTAACATGGTGAAACCCCATCTCTACAAAAAATACAAAAACATTAGTCTGGTGTGATAGCGCATGCCTGCAACCCCAGCTACTCAGGAGGCTGAGGCAAGAGAATCACTTTGGGCCGGGCGCGGTGGCTCACGCCTATAATCCCAGCACTTCGGGAGGCCGAGGTGGATGGATCACTAGGTCAAGAGATCGAGACCATCCTGGTCAACAAGGTGAAACCCCGTCTCTACTAAAAATACAAAAATTAGCTGGGCATGGTGGCACACGCCTGTAGTCCCAGCTACTCAGGAGGCTGAGGCAGGAGAATTGCTTGAACCCAGGAGGCGGAGGTTGCGGTGAGCCGGGATCGCGCCATTGCACTCCAAGCCTGTAACAAGAGCGAAACTCCGTCTCAAAAAAGAAAAAAAAAAAAAAGAGACAGAGAGAATCACTTGAACCCAGGAGGCAGAGGTTGCAGTAAGCCAAGATCACATCACTGCACTCTAGCCTAGGTGACAGAGCAAGATTCCATGTCAAATAAATAAATAGTGATTCCAAAGCACCAGAACTCATTTGTAAGTGGCTTCCAGCACCAATCTGGTTACTTTAATGCTACCTCACACATATTGTGATGAGGCATTCTATTGAAGATGAGAAAGCAGTGCAGGCTCGCATAGCTGACATCAAACAGTATTTTCAGCAATGCCAGTTTGGGGCCCTAAATGTCTTCATTTAGAGTTATACGTTGCCACATTTTCCCTGCAACCACAGTCTGCCATCCTTGTGTGCACACCAGGCTCATCGGGACCCATGATTAAGCCCTGCTGGGTACACACACCAGTGTGAGCTAGAGACAGGGACCTTAAGCAGCTGCTCAGAGTTGTAGGTTTGGGAGCTGCAGTGGCTCAGGCCAGTGGGGCACTTAAGGAGGTGAGGGTATGCTTATGAGGCCAGCCTGGGCAACATAGAAACCTCTCATCCATTTAAAAAAAAAGAAAAGTTGTAGGTTTTCTTCACTCCTCCAAGAAGTTACCAAAAACTCCCTGCAGGTATGGCTTTGGCAAGAAGTAACAGATTTTTAAACAGCTTTTTTCTGTTTCACTGCCAGAATTTAGCTGAAATATAATTTTTGACTGTCTATTTAAGTGGAAAACAAAACCAAACCAAAACTAAAAGAACAAACTAGAACTAACAAACAGATTCAGAAAACAGGATAAGAGAAAAATAGCCTAGAGAAGAAAGTTAACTTCAGTAACACAGCTCAGATCAGGATGACTACACTACTTGGTTAGAAATGTTCCAAGTATTCATAATAAACCATCCAATGTTAGATGAAAGTCACCAGCACAACTAAGTCAACATGCTAAATGTGATTCAACCTGGTCTGAGCATACGTTTGATGTGAATTTATCGGCCTGAATGTACTGGAGGGTTTTCTGGTGGTGTGCGGGGGAAGTGTATAAGCTAGATGTCGAGGTACTTCCTGTGCACACACTAAAGTTCCCTGTGTAGTTTCCTAGGTGAGAATGTTTATAACAGAACAAGAGCTATGCAGGGGCACAGGGGAGGCTCCCTAACACGGAAGGGCTTCTTCAAAGTGGTGAGCAGAGGATAGTCGACAGGCCACCTTACACACAAGGTTCTTTGCATAAGGCAAGTACCACATAGCTGTGCATAAGGTTGAGATGGAATGTCCAAAGACACTACTTTTTAGAGACAGGGTCTTGCTCTGTCACCCAGGCTAGAGTGCAGTGGCACAAACATGGCTCACTGCAGCCTTGACCTCCAGAGACCAAGTGATCCTCCCACTTTAGCCTCCTAAGGAGCTGGGAGTACAAGGATGTGCCACCACACCCAGCAAATTTTTTTTTTTTTTTGAGACAGAGTCTCACTCTGTTACCCAGGCTGGAATGCAATGGCACAATCTTGGCTCACTGCAACCTCCGCCTCTCGGGTTCAAGCCATTCTCCTGCCTCAGCCTCCCAGGAAGCTGGAACTACAGGCATGTGCCACCATACCCAGCTAATTTTTGTATTTGTAGGAGAGACAGAGTGTCGCACATTGGCCAGGCTGGTCTTGAACTCCTGACCTCAAGTGATCTGCCCACCTAGGCCTCCCAAAGGGTTTTTTTTTATTTTTTCATTTTTGTCGTGATGGTGTTTTCTCTATGTTGCCCAGACTGGTCTCAAACTCCTGGGGTCAAGCAATCCTCCTCCCTAGGCCTCTCAAAATGGTGGCATTACAGGCCTGAGACCTTGCACCTGACCCAAGACACTTTAAATCCTGCTTCCTTCTCCTGGAGATAATTTAGATTCTCTAACACTATTCTCATAAAAGAACTACAAATTTTTATTACAGTTTTTAGTTGAGTTGTTCTCAAATATTAGATCTAATGATTATCTATTATCTAATATAGACATAGATTTTGGTTTCTTCCCCCCATTCATTTTACTATTCATTTTCTTGATGGAGAAAGAACTAAAAATGTAAATATGAAACAAAACAGCTTTTGGGCAGGCAAACCTTTACAACTCATCTTTCTTTTTATTATTATGATACTTTAAGTTCTGAGATACATGTGCAGAACATGATTTTATGTTCTGATGTTTCCTCACTGCTTCCAATGTTTGTCCACGTCAGTGGTTCCATTATAAGTTCTAAAGGTAACAGACACTGTGTCTGCTGAATTATTTCTGTAAAACACCCAACCAAGCTATGTATAAAAGTAAAAGCTAATAAAAGCTATAAAAAGCTTTTTGTCCACCTCTTGAGCCAAGAATTTTCAATTATAAAAAAAAAAAAATAAATAAATTTTTTTTAAAAAGTACTTTTTAGGATTCTATTTAAAGCACTTAAGAAGTGTTTCTCTGACCATGCGCGGTGGCTTATGCCTATAACCTCAGCACTTTGGGAGGCTGAGGTGGGTGGATCACAAGGTCAGAAGTTCAAGACCAACCTGACCAATATAGTGAAACCCCATCTCTGCTAAAAATACAAAAATTAGCCAGGTATGGTGGTGCACACCTGTAGTCCCAGCTACTCAGGAGGCTGAGGCAGGAGAATCGCTTGAACTTGGGAGGCAGAGGTTACAGTGAGCCAAGATCGTACCACTGCATTCCAGCCAAGGCAACAGAGACTCCATATCGAAAAAAGAAAGAAAGAAAAAGAAAGAGAAAGAAAGGAAGGAAGGAAGGTTTTTTTGTTTAATTTTTCAACTTCTTAAAAATTTTCTGTAGACAGGGTCTTGCCATGTTGTCCACGTTGGTCTCAAATTCCTGGGCTCAAGCAGTCCTCCCGCCTTGGTCTCCCAAAGTGCTAAGATTACAGGTGTGAACCACCACACCTGGCTGGAAATGTTTAAAAAATATATATAAGCAAAATTTTTTTAGCTGGGCATGGTGGCACACACCTGTAGTCCCAGCTACTCAGGAGGCTGAGGCAAGAGGATCATTTGAACCCAGGAGTTCAAGTACCGCCTGGGCAACATAGCAACAGCTCCATCTCTTAAAAAATAATTTGAAAAAAAATTTTTTTTAATTAAAAATTAATGAGAGCAGTCTCTGGGAAGCTTGGCCTGGCCTCCTCCAGACTTCACACTGTGCCAGCCTCTTCCCCTTGCTGAGTTTACCTTGCATCCTCTTACTGGAATAAATCACAGCCACACGTACTCTATGTTGAGCCCTCCTAGTTAATCACCAAACTGGGGATGGTCCTGGGAAACCCCAATCCAGTTACCTTAAAAATAAAGGCAGCCTTAGGCAGTAAAACTGGAAATCTAGTGCCTAAATCAAATCCTATTTTTCTGTATATTGTTCAGGATGCACCTGAAATTCCTCATTTGGAGTGCAGTGTAACTAAACTACAGCTGAAGGAGCCAGGAATGTTTTGCCTCAACAGAAACTTAGGTAGATGGGGGGAATTTTCTCCAGAGTTGAATAAAAATTTAAGCATCCACCTCACACAACAGCGTGTTTCTTCTGCCTAGAACTACTGAAGCAGAAGCTGGATGGTTATCTTCCAAGAATGATAAAGAAAGGTTCCATCCTGGGAGGTTAGGGTGCATAACTGCTCCAAGGCCACTTCCATCTTTAAGATTTATGATTCTGGTCCCAGCACAGTGGCTCACGTCTGTAATTCCAGCACTTTGAGAGGCCAACGCGGGTGGATCACTAAGTCAAGAGATCAAGACCATTCTGGCCAACATGGTGAAACCCTGTCTCTACTAAAAATATAAAACTTTGCTGGGTGTGGTGGCAGGTACCTGTAGTCCCAGCTACTTGGGAGGCTGAGGCAGGAGAATTGCTTGAACCTGGGAGGCCGAGGTTGCAGTGAACCAAGAGCACACCATTGCACTCCAGCCTGGGAGACAGAGCGAGACTCCATCTCAAAAAAAAAAAAAAAAAAAGCATTAAACATGCTGAGACTATTAAAAGGATATCTATTAATGCCACAGAAGTAGAACTTGAGGAATGTGGTCAAGCTTGAGTGAAGTGGATATGTGTGCTAAGAAACGGGACTGTTAAAGATGGCATCTCTGTGTCAGTCATCAAAGAAGCTGCTTGGTCCATAATGAAAATAAGGAACCGGGATACATAATCCCTTACATAAGGCATGTAAGCAAGATACAAACAAATATAACAGGCTGGGAGCAGTGGCTCACATCTGTAATCCTAGCACTTTAGGAGGCCAAGGCAGGAAGACTACTTAAGCCCAGGAGTTCACAACCAGCCTGAGCAACCCAGCATACCCTGTCTCTACAAAAAAAATTAAAATTAAAATAATTAATAATAATAATTAGAAAATATTGAAATACCAAGATATTACAATATGCAATACAAAGAGTACAAGAGTTTAGTGAAGGGAAAAATTAGAAGTTGGGAAAAAACTTGATTGAAAATGTGGCATTTTAGCCAGGCATTATGGCTCACATTATAATCCCAGCACTTTGGGAGATCAAGGTGGGTGGATCGCTTGAGCTCAGGAGTTCAAGACCAGCCTGGGCAACACGGTGAAACCCCACCTCTACAAAAAAAAAAATTAGCCAAGCATGGTGGTGTGCACCTGTGTCCCAGCTACTCAGAGGACTGAGGTAGGAGGATTGCTTGAGCCCAGAAGGTGGAGGTTGCAGAGGTGCTTTCTGAGAGATCATGCCACTGCACTCCAGCCTGGGTGAGAGAGAGAGACCCTGTCTCAAAAAAAAAAAAAAGTGGCATTTTATCTTGACACAAAGAAAAAGGCAAACTTTAGATAGGAGGAAAAGGACAAAAGAGCACATAAAAGATAATGTGCAAGGCCAGGCACGGTGGCTCACACCTGTAATCCCAGCACTCTGGGAGGCTGGGGTGGGCAGATTACTGAGTTCAGGAGTTTGAGACCAGCCTAACCAACATGGGGAAACCCCATCTCTATTAAAAATACAAATATTAGGCCGGGCGCAGTGGCTCACGCCTGTAATCCCAGCACTTTGGGAGGCCGAAGCGGGTGGATCATGAGGTCAAGAGATCGAGACCATCCTGACCAACATGGTGAAACCCTGTCTCTACTAAAAATACAAAAATCAGCTGGGCGTGGTGGCGCACACCTGTAGTCCCAGCTACACGGGAGGCTGAGGCAGGAGAATTGCTTGAACCTGAGAGGCGGAAGTAGCAGTGAGCCGAGATCGCACCACTGCACTCCAGCCTGGCGACAGAGCAAGACTCCGTCTCAAAAAAAAATTATGGTGGCACATGCCTGTAATCCCAGCTGCTCAGGAGGCTGAGGCAGGAGAACCCCTTGAACCCAGGAGGCAGAGGTTGCAGTGAGCCGAGATCACACCATTGCATTCCAGTCTGGGCAACAAGAGCGAAACTCCATCTCAAAAACAAAAAAAGGGATAATGTGCAAAATCTCAAAGACAGAAACGAACACAGCACTAATGAAAGCTAATGAAAAAATAGCTTTATCAGAAGGTGTGATTTTAAAACAGTTAAGAAATAAGCCGGGTGCAGAAGTAAAATGGGCCTGAGTTGGACCAGGCTTTGAAATTAGTAAAACAGTCTGGCTCTTACGTGATAGGAAACAGTGAGCTATTTCAGAGTCCTAGGCAAGTAAAAGATGCTAAAAAGAACTTAGGAATCCAGGGTGGGCACGGTCTTCTTCAATCCATCCCAGCACTCTGTTCTTACCTCCACAGGCAGCTCAACTGACGTGTTAAAAGCACTTGGGGTCCACTGCTCGGAGATACTGACTTTGACATTGCTAAATGTTTTTCGTGAAGCATGGAGCAACGAATAACTACAAAATAGAATATAGGTGAATGAACAGCAAAAAGAAAGAGCATTCAATAAAATCACATGTATAAGTCCATTTCTTTTATTTTGGGGGCATTCCCCTAAACCAAAATAGATTCAGAAAGACTCTCTCAGTTTTATTTATTTTTATTTTTTGAGATAGGATCTCGCTCTGTCACTCAAGCCGGAGCGCAGTTATAATCATAACTCACTAGCCTAGACCTCCTGGGCTCAAGCAAGCCTCCCACCCCAGCCTGGGTAGCTGGGATTACAGGTGCACTCTATCATACCCAGTGTGCCTGTAATCTTAGCTACTCAGGCTAGGACTATGATAATTTCTGTATGTTTTATAGAGACAGAATCTTGCTATGTTGTCCAGGATGGTCTCAAACTCCTGGGCTCAAGAGATCCTCCTTGGCCTCCCAAATAGCTAGGATTACAGGCATGAGCCACCAAACAGGGTGTTTATTCAATTTTAGAATTCTTCTTTTTTTGAGACAGAGTCTTGCTCTGTTGCCCAGGCTGGAGTGCAGTGGTGAGATCTTAGCTCACTGCAACTTCCACCTCCTGGGTTCAAGCCAATTCTCCTGCCTCAGCCTCCCAAGTAGCTGGGATTACAGGCATGTGCCACCACACCTGGCTCATTTTTGTATTTTCAGTAGAGATGGGGTTTTACCAAGTTGGCCAGGCTGTTCTCAAACTCCTGCTCTCAGGTGACACCCCCACCTCAGCCTCCCAAAGTGCTAGGATTACTGGTATGAGCCACTGTGCCTGGCCAAGAATTCTTCTCTTTAAAAAAAAAAAAGGATGAGCCAAGCATGGTAGCCAACACCTGTAACCCCAGCACTTTGGGATGCTGAGGCAGGAGGACTGCTTGAGCCCAGAAGTTCGAGACCAGCCTGGGCAACATAAAAAGACTTCATCTATGAAACCCCATCTCTACTAAAAATACAAAAATTAGCTGGGCATGGTGGCACACGCCTGTAGTCCCAGGTACTCGGGAGGCTGAGGCAGGAGAATTGCTTGAACCCAGGAGGCGGAGGTTGCAGTGAGCCGAGATCCTGCCATTGCACTCCAGCCTGGGTAACAAGAGGGAAACTCCGTCTCAAAAAAAAAAAAGAAGACCTCGTCTCTACAAATAATTAAAAAAAAAAAAAAGCCAGACATGCTGGCTCATCATTCTGGTCCCAGCTACTCAACAGGCTGAGGCAGGTAGATCATTTGATCCCGGGAGTTTGAGGCTGCAGTGAACCGTGAGCACACCACTGCACTCCAACCTGGGTGACAGGGTGAGATCCCATCTCAAATAAATAAATAAATAAATATTTCTGGTGCCTGTCATAAATATTAATAACAAAAACTTCTCAGCAGAAATAAAGTTGAGTAACAGGGTCACTTGCAGCATGCCCCAATACGCAACGACCTAATGTACGCTATGTTACTAAGAGAACCGCTTAGGGCTGCCAAATCACAAGCGTGGATGATTTCTTCAGTCACACTGATGACTCACAAAAGTGCTACTAAGACAGGTTCCTTACAATTGCCTCTATCACCTTTACTGCTCAAGGAGGCACGGGACTTCTCTCCAAACAGGGTGATAAAAAGAAGTGAGACATGTTTATTTTTTTTAAAAAAGTACAAAAGTAATAAAAAGAAAAAAAAAAAAAAACAGATCAGGGCTTCTCCCTCCACACTATTGATATTTGCAGCCAAAACGCTCTTTGTTGTGGAGATGTGTCCTGTGCATGGGAGGATGCTCAGTAGCATCCCTGGTCTCCCCTCCCCCGTTGTGACAACCAAAACTGCCTGAGACACTGACAAATGTCCTTGGGAAGGCAAAATAGCCCTCAAGAACTACTGTGTTAGAGCTATCAAGACTAAAATAGAACGAATAACTAATCTATTTCACCACAACTGTATGCCCATCAATGCATCTGACACTTGCCATGCACTATCTCCCTCAAAAGAGAAAGAAAAAACACAAGCAAGGCCGGGTGCGGTGGCTCACACCTGTAATCCCAGCACTTTGGGAGGCTGAGGCGGGTGGATCACAAGTCAAGAGATCGAGTCCATCCTGGTCAACATGGTGAAACCCCGTCTCTACTAAAAATACAAAAAATTAGCTGGGCATGGTGGCGCATGCCTGTAATCCCAGCTACTCAGGAGGCTAAGGCAGGAGAATTGCCTGAACTCAGGAGGCGGAGGTTGCAGTGAGCCGAGATGGTGCCATTGCACTCCAGCCTGGGTAACAAGAACAAAACTCCGTCTAAAAAAAAAAGAAAGAAAGAAAGAAAAGAAAAAAAGGAAAAAACACAAGCAGGAGAGCAGCTTTAGCTTTAGCAATGTGCTTACCTGAAGAAGGTGAGCAGGAACACTACGACATGATGATGGCTGAACCGGGACAGCAGAGATCCTCGCTGAAAAACATTTGGCCAGGCCATGTTCTTCCTGACCTCCCTTCTCACCTTTGACCTTAAAGTTTGCAGAGTAAGTAATTTACATCATTTCTTCTTTCTGGAAAGACAAAATACATTATGGACATTATTAAACATAGGCAGATTATCCAAACACTGAATTATTTAGATTTATAGTCACCATATAATCAGACCTTGTGAGAAAAATCTCATGACCTAGTTGACACCAGAAAATTGGATTGATAATTATGTTAAAGAGATTAGGTAGTCCTTAAAAAAAAATCTTGGAGAACAGATTATATCTTAATAGAATGAGCTAATAAAAACTGATAAGAAAATCACTCACTTTTTTTTTTTTAAAGATGGGGTTTCACCATATTGGTCAGGCTGGTCTTGAACTCCTGACCTCAGGTGATATGCCCACCTCAGCCTCCCAAAGAGCTGGGATTACAGTTGTGAGCCACCACGACCAGCGGAAAATCACTCACTCTCATAGAAAAAATGAGCAAAGGAAATAAACAGACAACTTGGAAGAAATGAAATGGCTATTAAACTTAAGAAATACAGGAGGCTGAGGCAGAATTGCCTGAACCCAGGAGGTGGAGGTTGTGGTGAGCCAAGATCATGCCATTGTACCCAGCCTGGGTAACAAGAGCGAAACTCCGTCTAAAAAAAAAAAAAAAAAAAAAAAACCCTAAGAAATAAAAGTTCAATCCTACTAGTAATATTAGAAGTGTAATTGGCGAGGCGCAGTGGCTCATGCCTGTAATCCCAGCAGTTTGGGAGGCCAAGGAGGGCAATGGCTTGAGGTCAGGTGTTCGAGACCAGCCTGGCTAACATGGTAAAATATACCAAAAATATTTTTAAAATTAGCTGGGCATGGTGGTAGATGCATGTAATCCCAGCTACTCAGGAGGCTAAGGCAGGAGAATCGCTTGAATCCAGGAAGCAGAGGTTGCAGTTGAGCCAAGATCACACCACTGCACTCCAACCTGGATAATAAGGCAAGACTCCATCTCAAATAAAATAAAACAAATGGTTGGGCGCAGTGGCTCATGCCTGTAATCCCAGCACTTTGGAAGGCCTAAGCGGGCAGATCACAAGGTCAAGAGATCGAGACCATCCTGACCAACATGGTGAAACCCCATCTCTACTAAAAATACAAAAACTAGCTGGGTATGGTGGTGCATGCCTGTAATCGCAGCTACTCAGAAGGCTGAGGCACAAGAATTGCTCGAACCCAGGAGACAGAGGTTGCAGTGCGCCAAGATCACACCTCTCGAGCCTGGCAACAGAGTGAGACTCTGTCTCAAAAAAAAAAAAAGGAAAGAAAAAGAAAAAAGAAATGTAATTAAGGCAAGAAAACATTTGCATAGCTAAAGAAGATTGTGCTCAATGCAGCTTACGAGTATAATGGTTCCTGAACTCCCATATGCTACTGAAAGAAGTAAAAATGAGTATATTATAGGAAGACAATCTAGCAATGTTCATCAAGAGAATTTGACACAAAAAGTCAATTTCTGGGCTGCTCTATCTATGGAGCAGCAATCCTTTTATTCCTTTACTTTTGAATAAACTTGCTTTCACTTAAAAAAATGAATTTCCAGGGATCTATTCCTTAAAAAAACGCAAGACATAGGCTGGGCACGGTGCTCACGCCTGTAATCCCAGCACTTTGGGAGGCCGACGCAGGTGGATCACGAGGTCAAGAGATCGAGACCATCCTGGTCAACATGGTGAAACCCCAACTCTAATAAAAATACAAAAAATTAGCTGGGCATGGTGGCGTGTGCCTGTAATCCCAGCTACTCAGGAGGCTGATGCAGGAGAAATGCCTGAACCCAGGAGGCAGAGGTTGCAGTGAGCCGAGATCGCGCCATTGCACTCCAGCCTGGGTAACAAGAATGAAACTCCGTCTCAAAAAAAAAAAAAAAAAAAAAAAAAAGCAAGACATATTTAGACCTATAAGCGAAAGTGCTCGAGGATATTTTTTTTCTTTTTTTAATTTAATTTCCTTATAGCTCATGTGAACTGGAGGATATTTTTAATATTAAAAGAAAGAAGGAGCTGGGCACAATGGCTCACACCTGTAGTCCTCCAACTACTGGAGACGCTGAGGCAGGAGGATCCCGTGAGTCCAGGAGTTAGAGGTTACAGTGAGCTATGATCATGCCACTGCTCGACCCTGGGCAACAAAGTGAGACCCCTGACTCTAAACAAAGCAAAACAAAATGATTAAATACAATGTTCTAAATGATTTCTATTGCCTTGAGGTGAGGTCCCACTCCAAGACTCTGGGCCAGCTGCCTAACCCCTATCTGCCCCTGAGTATCCCCCCAAAATGAAAAAGTTTGTGTCAAAGGAACAGAGAAAGAGGTTAGGCCACTCCTTTGCATCTCCTTCCACTATTTCTGGTAGCTTTTCAAAATTTTTCTTTCTGACAGGCTCTCACTCTGTTGCCCAGGCTAGAGTGCAGAGGCACGATCTTGACTCACTGCAACCTCTGCTTCCCGGGCTCAAGCAATTCTCCAGCCTCTGCCTCCCAAGTAGCTGGGACTACAAGCATGAGCCACCATGCCTCGCTAATTTTTGTATTTTTGTAGAAACATGGTTTCATCATGTTGCTCAGGCTGGTCTCGAACTCCTGAGCTCAAAGATATCTGCCACCTTGGCCTCCAAAAGTGCTGGGATTACAGGCATAAGCCACCGTGCCCAGCCCCAGTGCCTTTTCATTTGACTGCACTCTCTGAAAGCTGCACCCATGATATCCAGGAACAATTAAGCATAAAGTAAGCAGCTAAAGTTAATGACTCCAGTTAGGAGTCTCCAGAACCAATCTAAATATACAGTAATAGAGGAATTTAATAAATTACGGTATGTCCAAATGGCTAAATCATTTATAATCATTTGCCATGAAGTAAAAGACTTTGTAATGACATGAGAAAATGTCAAGTGCAAAGAAGTGGGAGCTTATAAATCTAATCAACTCAACTGTGTTTATATAATACAAATAAATAGGGAATCTATCAGTTCTGTCTGGGTAGTGAAATGATAGATAATTTTGATTTTCTTCTAAATACTTTCTTTAAAAGGCTACAACAAACATTTATATAATTTTTATAACGGAAGGGAAACAGCCACAGCATTAGAAAACTACTATAAGGTAGGCCAGGTATGGTGGCTCATGCCTCTAATCCCCATACTTTGGGAGGCCAAGGCAGGAGCATCACTTAAGCCCAAGAGTTTGAGAACAGCCTGTGCTGTAGAGTGAGATCCCACCTCTACAAAAACTAAAAATAAAGAATAGCCAAGTGTGGTAGTTCGCATCTGTGGTCCCAGATACTCAGGAGGCTAAGGCAGGAGGATCGCTTGAGCCCAGGGGTTCAAAGGGGCAGTGAGCTATGATCACATCACTGCACTCCAGTCTGTACCACAGAGTAAGACCTTGCCTGCCCCCCAGCACCAAAAAATGTAACGTAATTTATCTGCATACACAGGGGAAAAAATCCACAAAATGGCTTGTAGGATAAATATACAACAGTAGTCAAGGTAGGGAACACATTCAAGAGCTCCCAATACTAAAGAGAGAGCCACAGGGCTTGGCTCTCAGATGTAGTTCACTGGAACTGTTATACTACTTACTTTCACTAGCCACAGCTCAATAGATACACCGAAACCTTAAGGCCTAAGAGACCCAGCAGAAAGGCCATTCTGGCAACTTGTAGATAAAAGAAACAAAGTTGAGGTGGTTACAATTATGTACACGTTACAATTGTTTTCCTTCCTAGCTGTTAGCCCTTAGACCAGTCATGCTCAATTAACTCACAAGTGGTCATCCATAAAATGGCTTATCTCACTTGAGAGTTGTAAGGCTAAAAGTAACAATGTATTTGATGTATTCAGATAATGATTTTAGCCACTGATCTGCCAAGGATCAATTCCAAATCAGTAGAATTTAACTAATTTCATTTTAAAGTCATTCTTCTTGGAAAATGTCAATAAAATTATGTGCAGAGTAAGACTATAAAATTCCACTCATAAAATGTAAATAAACTTCCCGTCTGTAATTCCAGGTTACAAAAACAAGAGCTACTGGTATTATGACTAAATTTACTTCTATCTTAAAAATTAAACAGGCCGGGCACGGTGGCTCATGCCTATAATCCTTGCACTTTGGGAGGCTGAGGTGGGTGGATCACCTGAGGTCAGGAGTTCAAGACCAGCCTGGCCATCATGGTGAAACCCTACCTTAAAAATAAATAAATAAATAAATAAATAAATAAATAAATAAATAAATAAATAAAAAATAATTAAACATGAAACCCAAGTGGAAAAACTCAAAGCTTTAATAATTCTCTATGAATCGTAGCTCTTTGAACTGGACACCTTCACACCTCAAAACACTGTAGTATGTACTCCAGGAAAGGGCATGGAATATGAAATGCAAAACTGTATCATGTAAAATCATAATTCTAAAAATAAATGCTCCAATAGATTGAGATTACAGCACATTGGCAATAGAGTTCATAATCTAGGGCTGTATGGTTATATTAACAGCTTTAAATAACTACCAAAATAAATCCAAACATTTGGACTTAGTTTCTAAATAGACCATCTTTTCCTAAGCTACAATGATTGGGGAGAAAAGCCTTAATAAGTACACTGGAAAAGTGACCTTTTTTTTCCCCCTGAGATGGAGCCTGGCTCTGTCGCCCAGGCTGGAATGCAATAGCACAATCTCAGCTCACTGTAATCTCCATCTCCTGGGTTCAAGAGATTCTCCTGCCTCAGCCTCCCAAGTAGTGGGGATTATAGGTGCCCACCACCATGCCCAGCTCATTTTTGTATTTTTAGTAAAGATGGGGATTCACCATGTTGGTCAGGCTGGTCTCGAACTCCTGACCTCAGATGATCTGCCCACCTTGGCCTCCCAAAGTGCTGGGATCAAAGGCATGAGCCACCACACTCAGCCTTATTTATTTATTTTTTAGAACAGGGTTTCACTCTGTCAACCAGACTGGAGCACAGTGGCACAACCTCAGCTCACTGCAGCCTTGACCTCTCAGGCTCAAGCAATCCTTTGGGAACACAGGCACACAC